ACGAGCTCTGTTATTGTTGATGTTTACGATTCACCGGGTGTGTTCAATTGACAAACTCTGCACACACCACTGAGCACGGACTTACAATACTGTGAGTGGGTTTTGCTTTCGAACATTTCTACTCTGAATTTTCCGGGTTATAGTTTTAATATTTTTCATTAATACACAACAAAATTGCCACTTTTCTTAAGTATTAAGAATAAAATTAAAATATGTGAAAGCGCAAAGATGTGTCAATCCTACGCGTCCAGAAATTCGAAGTTTTAATAACTTCGAGATGAAATAAGATTTTTATTATATTTTAGTATGAAATGCTATAGCAACATATAAGTCATGAAATTATACAGAAAATTTGAGAAAATATTAACTTCAAATCTGTGTCCAAGCACCTTTCAATACTCTTTCAAAAATTAATGTGTTATATCATTTTTTTTTACACATCCGATTCCCTAATTTCATTGAATTATTTATTGATATAATATTTTTATTAATTGTGTTTTTAAGGTATGCGGAAAGAAAAAAAGCCTTACGCATGATTCAAACTCGCTCCACTCTTTTTTTAAACATAAATTAAATTTTACATTCAATTTCTGTCATTTAAAAGTTTAGGTAGAATGGAAACTTGACCCATTCATTTTCTAAAATCATTTTGAATGGTTCTGATAGACTCATTTTCCACTAAATTTGCTTTAACAGTAAACTTCAAAAAAAAAAAAACAAATCACAAATCAGGAAGTTATTGAATAAAATAAATGAACCAAATGTGTTAAAGATGACATAACTGACAACACAATTTTTGCAAAATAAAACTTTTCCATGAACTTTTAAAATTGAGAAAAATTTGGTCTCAGAGCGGGGAATTGCTCTCACCTTGTATTCTGTTATAGAAAAACATTATTTCCATGGTTGTTGTTTTTTTTTAAAGTAAATGGGCTAATGTTTTAGCTAGTATATCCATTTGAAAGTAAAAGATAATTCTGTTTTGCCTAATTTGAACAAGCAATCACTACTTAAGTTTTTTAATGTGAAAGTCCCTAAGATACGTGTTTTGTCAAAATAAACTAATTGAGTTAATAAGAAATTTCTTAGAAATGTGAACAACTTTGGTGACTGTTTTAAGGAAATAAAAGAAAATCATTGTCACTAGATCAAAATTCAATTAAATATTTTGTAATTAATAAAATTGATAAAGAAAAAATTGATAAACGTAAATTATTTTACAATGTGTGTGTTGGTGCTATTTTTCACTAACAATTTTCCTTCTTGTCTACGTTACAGGTGCTACAATAACTGAGTTAGCACCAAATTTATCCACACATGTTGGTACAAGTACCAATTCAGAAACTTCAACTAACACTTTCTCTGGAAGTACAAAATCAGATGACACACAGTTAGAAACCTCAGAAGCACCAGTAACTACTTCACCTTCAGGATTGTCTGAGAAAATGATCATCATTATTAGTACAGTGTCTGCAGTTGGAGGAATCTTGCTGATAGTGATTATAGTGATTGTTGTGTTTTGCTGCAAACAAGGGGATGGCACTGCAGATAAAAAGAACAAGAACAAGCCTGGCAAGTTACATATTAAAAATGGGAACAATAAAGATCTTAATTCAAACTACAATAAGTCACAAGAATATAAACACTCTACTGAGTCAAGAAGGAAAATACAAGGAGGTAATGAGTTGCATCAAAAACATCCACAGAATGATATTTTGTATGGAGTTAGGATGCCTACTGGAGTTGAATTTCTAAGATCCCAAAATTATTACCAACAGAACTATTTTCCTAGAAATTTGCACCATTATAGAAAGCAAAATAATGCATATTACCTTCCATACACAGATCCAAGGAATGTGATGCTCTATCAAAGTTATCCAGGAAGTGGATACAATGTGGATATGTTAGGATACAGCAGAGAAGGTCCATACAGGATGCAGCAGTTTTACCCCCAGTCATATTCCAGGCATGATCGATACACTGATGATGGACTGGAGAGAAGGATTGGTCATCGAAGAGGAGAGTATGAGAGCTACTGGGCTGATACTCTGTACTAAAGTTGCACTGCATTTGAGAAAGGATGAAAGTATTGCAATTTGAGAAAAGACCTTTTCTTGAAAAACAAGCATGTAATTAAGACTTGCTGACAACATACAAAATGGAAATCACAATCATCATTATATCATTTGTCCAAGGTCTGCTAATAAGAAAACTAATATAGGCTTGCTTAGCTTATATATATACCATTTCAATAATTTTTTGTATGTTTTGAATTAATTATTTTGATGATATGAATAACAAATTTTATAAGAATTTGATTTTAATTTACATTATGACCAATAATCATTTCCATGAATCTCAAACAAACTCAAATTTCCTTGAATGTGTTGATAAAGCGTGGTCCCAAGTCTATGCTTTATTCAATGGGTAATATACGATAATTGAAAACATTACCAAATCAAGTTACAAAGATACACAATAGATGGAAAAATGTAGTATATGTGCTTGCAAAATTATATTCCTGCCATGCATGCTTAAGTAACATTTGCTGTCTGGGATCGAAGTGGAATGTTACTAAGGTATTCCAAGTGAAAATTTTGAAGATGTTCCAAATAGAATTAAGACAAGGCGAAAAAGCTAGAGAGAATTCAGGAGTTGTAGTGAAGAGAGTGTGCTAGTTTCCTTTATCAGAGATGCAATAAATGTATTTAGAATGAACTTGGCAAATGACTGAAATGAACTAGATGTGTTTGACTAATTTTTGACAACTTTTTAGTTCATTTCTCTGAATTTAAATCATCTTATACATGTAGTTATACCGAGTATAAAGATAACATTTATAAGAAGGACATCTACAGTAATGGAAAGAATACATCTTAATAAAATACTATTCAAAATCAAAATAGAATCATCTTCGACTTTAAACTCAATAAATCAAAACTGAATATCTGAAATATATTTAAGTACACTTTCAACAGTGAAATACAGTTAATTATTCATTGATTTTTCACAAATGTGTTATTTTCGAAGTGAAAATATTGTAGTAACATACATACAAGTGTTATTTTCTCTGTGAAAATATCAAATTTGCATCAAACTCTATATTTCCAGTCTTTTCACAGAGTTATAAATAAATAGTCTCTATGAATAACAAGATTGAATAAATCATTCAATTTGAATCCGACTGAAATAGCCAGACTTGTTAAAATCCATATGACACATTTACTATGGTAACTTTGTAACCTACCTGCTCTAAAAAGCTTAACCTGTTTAATCACCCAGAAAGTGTTCTTCCAATCCAGCATCCTTAGCAAGTCTGGTATTGGACATCCCTAGATTCATCATCCATGCAAGTTTGGTCACCATGGGGATAAGTTTCTTGGGCATGAACCTATTCCAAAACCTTTCATCTGAAAAAATGTAGGTCAGCGGTTTAAGAGGAGTTGCACTAACAAAATGTTCATCTCTATATTCAAGATATGGCCAAAAAACTAAGTTGAAAAGTGCCAAAATTCCCAGAAAAAATAAAGGAATCGGAATTTCCTGGTAACAACCACATCTACACATTGTGTGCTAAATATCTGCAAAGTTTGACGAAATTCTGTGCAGCGGTCCATGAGGAGTTGCGCTGACAAACTGTTCATCTCTATATTCAAGATATGACCAAAATTCTAAGTTGAAAAGTGCCGAAATTCCCAGAAAAAATAAAGGAATCGGAATTTCCTGGTAATATGCACATCTACACATTGTGTGCTAAATATCTGAGAACTATCCAAGATTTTGTGTGTGTGTGTTAAATCATTAACATTTTGATCTCAAAATCAATAGGGGTCTTTTAAGGTCATAAAATATTTCAAATAAAATTTTATTACAAAAGCTGATTCCAGTGGATTTCCTTATTACCTAGCTGGAAAGTTTCTTCAATAATAGGCAAAACTCTTAAGGCAAAAATAATGGAATCAGAATTTCAAAGTAATATTCACATCTATAATTGCGTACTAAATATCTGCAAAGTTTAACCAAATTCTGTGCAGCGGTTTAAGACATGTACACACAGTGTGCTAAATATCTGCAAAGTTTGACCAAATTCTGTGCAGTGGTTTAAGAGGAGTTGCGCTGACAAACTGTTCATCTCTATATTCAAGATATGGCCAAAAATCTAAGTTGAAGTGCCGAAATTCCCAGAAAAATAATGGAATCGGAATTTCCAGGTAATATGCACATATAACACTGTGTACTAAATATCTGCAAAGTTTAACCAAATTCTGTGCAGCGGTTTAAGAGGAGTTGCACTAACAAACTGTTCATCTCTATATTCAAGATATGACGAAAAATCTAAGTTGAAAAGTGCCGAAATTCCCAGAAAAAATAAAGGAATCGGAATTTCCTAGTAATATGCACATATAACACTGTGTACTAAATATCTGCAAAGTTTAACCAAATTCTGTGCAGCGGTTTAAGAGGAGTTGCACTAACAAACTGTTCATCTCTATATTCAAGATATGACGAAAAATCTAAGTTGAAAAGTGCCGAAATTCCCAGAAAAAATAAAGGAATCGGAATTTCCTGGTAAATGCACATCTACACATTGTGCGCTAAATATCTGCAAAGTTTGACGAAATTCTGTGCAGCGGTTTATGAGGAGTTGCGCTGACAATAAAAACAGGACTGACGGACTGACGTACTGACTGACGGGTCAAAAACATTACACCTCATGCAACTTGTTGCGTGGGGTATAATAAATTCTATATCCAAATACCAGTACAAATATTGAATTTTCTTTTCATAATTTTTTCCATCTTCACAGTGTGAAATGAACACCTTTGAAAATATCTATTTTACTCAATGTATAAATCATGGTTTTGCTGTGTTGCTCATTTTCATCTTATTTCATCATTTTCTTCATGTTCTGGAAATATAGGTTGTGATAAACACTATTTTATGCTACACAAAATAAACACAATAAATACGCCACACACAAAAAAAAACAAAAAACAATCTGCTGGTTTAAAATTTCTTTAATGACACAGTGAATAATCAGCAAATATGTAGATGGTGATGAAAGTCATATGGCAGTGCTGATAAAAGTAAACAATGCCAAGAAGATTCTGAACACTTTGTTTTCCAGCTAAAAGTATAATCAGTAGAATAAAATACTGTTTAGCATAATGTACATGTCGTCTCATCAATTAATTAAATACAATTAAATGCATTCATCTGTATCAAAGATTCAAAGCAATGCCTCTATTAATAATGATAATAATTAAAATATGCCAAGTAATCATTGGTAAATCTTGCTTGAAATTGAACATGAATATCTAAACAACCCTTTGGAAATGACAGAGGACAAATATTAATGCCTTTGTAAACATTCAAGGTTTTTGTATAAAATACCCTTTGATGATATTGTTTATGACAGAAAATTGAATCTTTTTATCATAATGGTCTACATTGCATATATTATTAAACATCATACGTTTGATACAAATGCCACACACAGCTACCTGTTTATCACACATTCTAAGTACAGCATAATGCCAGCTTATAAGTGACATTCACTATTAAACATCAATTAGTATACAGAAAAATTCAGCAAATAGCCTGGAGTGATGTCCCTTATCTAAAGGTGAAGAACAAGTGGCCACCACACCACAAACAATTCTAATGTCTTTCCCTCCAGGCATACATCAGTAAATGTAAAGTCTCACCTTCCCCTAAATGATAAGGTGAACTTCACTTAAGATCACAGTCAATTTCCTTTGTTAAAACTCTCAGCCAAGAACTAGACCTATTCCAAACCTATATTGACTTTTCTGAACATTAGCAAAGTTAGCAGTAGCACTTAGCTGTAAAGTGAATGGTAAAGGCATCAGTTTCTTTTCTAACACAGCTTCTGCCGTCCAATTTGAATCAAAAGAACCTGGAATATACAACAAAATACAAGTTATATAAAGTTTTAATGTTGTAACTGACCCAGAATGCTCACTATCTGCTAACCTACTTTTACTTAAAATTGTCATTCATTTTGCAATAATGAACAAATCATAGACACTCTGTCCTTAAGTTGCTATCTTTGCAAATTGTATTTCTTAAAATTAACATTTACTGTACTTTGAAAAAAGGTGAAAAGGCTTTGGTTCATGCCAAAACAATTTCAGAGACCATTTATCAGAGTTGTCCCTAAGACCCGGGGGCCGGGGAATTTCCCCGCCTATAATGACATTATTCCCCAGCTACTCTAGTATCCCCCCTCAACCCCTTGTTAGGGGAGGAATCCCAGACCCCCTTCTACTTTCTTAATGTCCCCTCCTACTTTAATTCTTAGGGACAACCCTGATTTATAGAACTGACACAATAATCTTCCTGCAAAAATTACTTCATCTATTCATAGGTCTAAAAATATATGCATTTGATGCAATTCGAAAAAATCATTTCAGTTTTAAAGTTTTTACTTGGAAAGTGTGTTGAAATTAAATTATGTTGCTTATTTGCAGCATATCTTATTCCTTAAACATTTATTCTTTATTGGGGAAAAATCTTATTATAAATGTACTTCAGTTTTTATCTCGGTTTATAATCATGTGTAGTATTTTGTCAATGGAGACATTAACAGGGCTCTCGATTCTCTATAATTGGGACCGTTTAAAGGCCCCATTCCCAATTCAAAAAAGGTACCTTTTTTCCCAATTTAATGTTTTAATTTTCCAAATTGGTCACTTCCCCAAATATTAAAGAACATGTAGTAAAATATGTAGTTCCTAAACTTGTTATTCACATTTCTCTATATTACAAAACAGAAATTTAGTTGATAACAACCACCAGAAACTCAATATATAATGAATTTAATGGATATTGTCTAGTTATGATTTTCCCAAATTTCCTCAAAAGGTCGCTAATTTTCCCAATTTTCATGGCCCCGGCCCCAGTCCCAAAAACTGGTGTGAGAGCCCTGCATTAGGAAGATAGCAGTCACTTAACTGACTTTGGCCCCTTCCCTCTGACCTCAGTGAGATAGGGGCTAGGTAAATTCAAAATTACACAAATGCTATAGATATATATAAGATACCAAAGTTGGTTGAAATTGATTTGATTGTTTCAGACTGAGAGAAAAAAGTAAGAATGCTCAAAAGTTCAAGACTGGTGAACCACAAGAAGAGAAAATACTGGAATAGTTTAGAAAACTTTAACGCACAAATGATCTTTAATACAAAGAAACATGCCTAAATGCATGAAAAGTACGCATATAACTATTTAATGTTAATCTTTACACTATCAAAATGGAAAGTGCCTATTGTGCTTAGAAAATTGTGAATCTGGGGAAGCTTTTGATTCACCACTTGCAATTTATGATAGGGAAAGGGATGAATTAAATAATGTGAAATAATTCTTCTGCTAATTGGTAAGCTCATTAAAAGAGGAACAGAATTGTGATATCTACACTTCACTTTAATTTGGAAAGCAATGCAAACTATCATTAGTAAAAAAAAAAACATGAGCTTTTTTTTTTTTAAATCGTAATGAAAATATAGGTTTTATGAAAATGTAAAAAAAATTTCTAGCAAGAAACTGAGCTAAAGCACCTCTTAATATTTTTCTTATGGATTGATTTTAAATTACACCCACATTTATTGTGTTCAGTAAAATGAAATTTGTCTGCTTTATGATTATCATCATGAAAATTATACTGATGGTTTTGAAATAGGTTTACCGATGTAATAGCTGCATTTTACTATATATTCCATTAAAATGGTGTCACCTGTGTCCATCAACATTGGTTCATTTGAGATGTGATTACATCATAACCACAAAAAGGAATCTCAAAACATTCCAAGAAAAAATTTCAAAACTAATGGATCTAGTTCACAAAGTTTCAGTGTATGTTGTTATGGCATGTCAAACGTTGCAATATTCGATCTTTTGCATTTGCATTGTATAATTTTCCATTTGCATTGTATAATTTTTATTTGTATTGTATAATTTTCTATTTGTATTGTATAATTTTTCATTTGTATTGTATAATTTTTATTTGTATTCTATAATTTTCTATTTGTATTGTATAATTTTTCATTTGTATTGTATAATTTTTATTTGTATTCTATAATTTTCTATTTGTATTGTATAATTTTCATTTGTATTGTATAATTTTTATTTGTATTGTATAATTTTCCATTTGCATTGTATAATTTCTTATTTGTATTGTAAAATTTCTTATTTGTATGCGATAATTTTTCATTTGTATTGTATCCGCGGACTGTTTAAATTTGTTTCGTTACGAAAGATTTCATTGGTCAAGTTTCAGCCTGTATCGGGTTGAAGATGTTCCGGATGCTCAAAGCAAACCGGGCTCATATGTATTTGCTTGTCAATGATTGATTGATTGATTATTGTTTAACGCCGAGTCGGCAATATTTCAGCCATATTTCGGCGGCATATGTATTTGCGTGCATGTTAGACGGTCATTGGATTCTAAAAAGGGAGCGCTGGTAGATGGCAAATAAATAATCTGTCCTTAGGAATGCTGACTGAGAAAATAAATAAATTTACCTTGAGTGGTGGTAACTACCCCCACCCCCAAAAAACTGAGTTTTCGGGTTTGGGCGGATTTTCTTCTTTTTGTTTTTCTCCTTGTCTCTGGTCATATTGGAAATAAATATTCTCTCCTGCGAGAGAATGAAAATAAATAATCGGATTCGACACCCCCCGAGAATCAAATGGTCGTCCCTTAGCATGCACCGTAAATAGAGGAGCCGAGTTTGTGTTTGTAGAGAGTGCGCGATCGGAATTGTGGGAAGGGTACCAGACTAAGTTTGTGATGGGCACCTGAGACCTTTATACAGACTAAATTTTATGACCAATGACATCCTTCGTAACGAAATAAATAAACAATCCTCAGATACAATACAAATGAAAAATTATCGCATACAAATAAGAAATTATACAATACAAATAAGAAATTATACAATGCAAATGGAAAATATAGAATACAAATGAAAAATTATACAATACAAATGATTTTTTTACAACACAAATGGAAAATATAGAATACAAATAAACATTATACAATCCAAATGGAAAATTATAAAATCCAAATGGAAAATTATAGAATACAAATAAAAATTATACAATACAAATTGAAAATTATACAATACAAATGAAAAATTATACAATACAAATGAAAAATTATACAATACAAATAAAAATTATACAATACAAATGGAAAGTTATACAATACAAATGGAAAAGATCGAATATTGCAACGTTTGACATGCCATATGTTGTGGGACAGAAAGTAAATCTGCAAGCTACCTACATTGAGAAGATCATTCTAGACAAATTTTTAAATATTCTATCAATGAAATGAAAAAATATGCAAATTAAGAGACAAGTCAGGTGATTTGGAAGGGGTGCATATTATTATCTGATTGAAAATAACTAGGGGGTACTTATATGAGTATGGACACTTACTGAGGTAATAACAATAAGGACTAACTTTTTGACTCACCTTTAAAAATTGCATTTCCACTCGGTATTTCTAGCTGGTAACAACCTTTCCCTACACTTTCTCGTGTCATGAGACTTGTCTCTACTTCTGCTCCAATGGACAATTGTTCATTTACTTTATGATAATAGCAACAATGTGCTGCAACTGCTGATGGGCAAATGTTGGCAGTGAATTGCCAATTTTCACCTGAAACAAAATAACATATTAACATGTACTTCTACAGTATACATAGATGTAATTCTAATATTGTCTGCAATCTCTCTGATATATAAGTATTTTATAATCAATGAAAGAATTTAATAGTGGCTGCATAATTTTTTAAATGACATGTACAAATGAACTTCAGTATCTTGAACAACGACATCTCGAATACAATGGTTATGTCAAAGTGATTTTGAAGTTCCAATCCCTTATTCTAAAAGTATATTACCCTGGATAGCTCGAATCCTCGTATATCTTTCTTTTCTTCTCGGTCCCATTGAGTTCGAGATAACAAGGTTTGACTGTACTTTTTTAAGTACACATCCTCTTATTTTTCATACACTGAATACATTTAACAAAGCTTTGTTCTAAACACTGTCCAAGTATTTCTAACCTGTAATTTTGGAAGCTAATGAGATGACAGTAATTTCTCCTCCGGGAACCCTGGGTCCCCTCTGATACACTAATTCTGCTCCTAGAGCTACACTAGGGGTCACTCTCTGTAGGTAATGGCCCACAATGACACCTGAAAAGGAATTTATAATGTCTAGTAACTCTGCTTTCTTTCTCACTTTCAGTGTTACTGAAGTTTCAATCACTTAACTATTTCCCTAGAAGACTTATTGCTTAGGTTCCACATTTCAAGGCTTGGTGAGTAAAAACTAGAGGTACTGTGAGCACTGAGCTCACAAAATAATACCCCCACTCCGATATGAATATAATGGCAAAGTTCTTTTTTTTTGCTATGGGAAACCCCAAACATCTGTCCAATCGAAAAGTAAAACAGTAGGTGCATAATGGCACTATGAAATAAAGATTCTGTTCTCATTAAATTTTATTTAGTGGTATAGGAGAAGTTGCAAATAAGAGATAGGTACCCCCAATATTATAGAAAGAATGGCAGTAGGAGGTGCACAATGGCACTATGTTACAGGAGAGGGCTAAAATAGGCTGATACTAGGAAAGGGCTAAAATAGGCTGAGCCTGCTGCCCAATCCCATTCACTTCTGTATATAAAATATTGTTAAAATTAAATTAAATGGACTATGTTATAAAGATTCTGTGAAAGAATCATTAAATTTTGATTGGTATTGGAGGAATCATGGATAAGAGATGGGTACCCCCAGTGTTACATACAGAAGAATGTATGGATGGACACCCCCATCAGCATATACCCCTGCTTTTCAAGTGTTGGGGGGGTGGGGGGTTAATAAACTATTTTAATGAGTTACATTTTATTGACATTGTTTAAAAGTAAATTCTAAGGTTTCCATTTTAAAGATTTTACGCAAAGTCTAAGCACCTTACTTCTCTGACATTACTATGAAAGGCATATATTTTAATTTGTATCACATACAGAGTCAAACTATTCAAAAAAATCATAGCTTTATTCAGCACAACCCTATCACCTTGATAAATAAAGCTTCTTCAGAGAAAATCTTGCTGATCAACACCTATTTTCACATGTACTCACCTGTTTTGTTCAAAATATCAATATTTCCTAGAGTTAGAGTTGAGGTAAAATCATCCCCTAAGTAATCTATTGATCCTTGACCCATGAATTTCCCCTCCTGTACCTATTCAGCAACAAAAATAATCAAAAAATTCAAATTGCTTTACTTTTGAGCATTATATCAAATGGTTAACAACTGTTTGAGGCAAATTCACACTCAATTTCACATTTATTACATCCACTTTTCAATGTTTTCAAAGAAATATTACAGTAAGTTGAATTTAGGAGATTAACAATTCCCTGCTTGTGATGCATATAAATATGATGAGATACTCACCGAAGACTGGAGTTTGGTTCTTATTTTCCTAGTGAATGCATGTATGATATGTGCATTTAAATTCAACGATGGGTCAATATCTCCCATCATTACTGGATATGCCTGAAAAGAGTTAACACACTATTAATGAGCAGACCTTTTACTATAGCATGAACAACAGATACCTATATGTAGCTCTGTAAAATTTATGCTGACTTTTTTGTCTCTGCTTACCTCAGAGGGGCTGTACTGTTTGGTTCCTATGTAAGTAGCACCAAACTTGTATCCTGATTCTTGTGGTGACACCTGGGACATAGTGAGCGTGTGACTGACTTGGAAATGACTGCTCAACCCTTTTGACACAAGGAATCTACCACCCTCAAATGTCTGAGGGAAAAGCTCTAAAATTATAAAAAGAATGTTATCAAGAAAGTGTAACAATTCACAGTAGGCTGTATTTGTTTCTCTGCTTTTGGCATTTGAGTAAGTTTACTGAAATTTGCATATATTCTCAAATAAGTATTCATGACACATTAGACTAACTATTGTTACTTAACATTTAATATCACAAAACATTTCTCAGTTTTATTTCATCAGTGTAACTCATCATGGCAAGCCACATAATTCTGTGTCCATTCTATTTGCCACAAACCAATGACTGTCTGTTGCAATATTCATTCAATCTAAGGCTTGCAACAATATTTCATAATTGTAGAAATTGGTTTGTTTCTTTTCAAAATCATAATTTTTATATTCAACTTATAAAATTTATCAAATGATCTGGGCCATATTCCATTGGGCTACTCTACTAGTGATATTTTTCCTCCCCATCTCCCTATCTTTGGAAGGGGCCAATCATGAGCAAGTCTGAAACTGCAACCCCCCCCCCCAGTGCTTAATTTATGATACTTGCACTAGAAACATATTAAATAACATTTGTCATTAACGTCTCCGCTTGCACTGCATGATTTTTGTGTGCAAATTTTAATATGATTACCATAAAAGATTTACTTTAAACAAAAAAACCTCAATAGCGATCACAGAGAAAATTCAGACTGTGCACAATAATTGATCTAAATGAATTTTTTCACACAGTAAACTTAGTATTCATAATGCTTTATAATTATAGTGGTGCCTATTGACACGAATTCTCGTGATAACCAAACAAAAGTTGACATATAATATATATAGATGGCTGATTTCATATTCTTTGTTAAGAAATTAAAACAATTAATAGCGAGCAAAATGAGCGGCGCAAAGCGCCGCTCGTCACTGCGAGCTCTTAAAGCAATGCCTGGGTGAAGAGAAATTTCGGACTTTGATCCAAACAATTTTTTTCCGCAGTTACCTATGGTCCCATAATGCTTTGCAAATTGCATCTCGCCGCAAACAACGTTCTCGCGGTAACAAGAAGTTCCAAGATAAAAATAAACTCACCTTGATTTGATGGATGTATAGCAGAAAATTAGCACTGTTCAGACTTCGTTTTGGTAATGCAACTTACAAGCGACATCATGTGACGTCAGAGTCTAGAGGTACTAAATGTCACATGCTATTTGAAGAGTCTGATCTTTATAAAACTGAATATAGGTATCTTGCGCTCGCCCTAACGTTCGCACCGTCAACATATTATTTCAGACTTTGTGACTGAAATATGCAACGAACATTCGATGTCATGTGACATCACTGTTTAAACCTTCCAAATGTCTCATGTGGTTTGAGAGGCGGATCTCAGTTAAAAGTAAATAGGTAGGCTATTCAATAATATACACAACTGCACTCGCCTCAATGGTCGCATTGTCAACATATTAGCTCTCTTTTTTTCTGAAAACAGATGTTTTAATAAATGACTTCTTGATAAAAATTCTGATAATAACTGTGATTAAATAACAAATATTCGAACCAAACAAATTCATTAACTGCTTGAAACGATCGTATTCAAATGTTGTACGCTTCTTTTATGATGATCTGCTTCAAAATATTTAAAATAAATGAAACTGCATCATTTGACCTTGGTGTCTTCATTTCACCACCCATGGTGTATATTATCAGCAAATTACACAGCTTCAAACCTTTGCACTTTCGATGCATCTCTTCAAATGTGCCTGGATTAGTGGTTGTTTCTTCTTTGACTTCATTTGGAGGTTTTATCTCTGACGTAACTACAGACGGTGGTGGTGTCAAGTTAGAAGGTTGTGAGGGTGCTGCAGGTGGTGGTGATGGTATGCTGGAGCTGGAAGGCGGAGGAACTGTCGATGTAGACGATGAATTCCCCATTTTGTAGAAATATACCTAACTAATGTCTATATATCTATTTAGTTTAACCCAACCTATTCGTGCATTATGTAAGAAAATACCGGTGATTTACTATCTCGTGGTCGCGGCCATGTGTGGATAACTACCGACATGCGCACTTGCGACTTCCTGTTCTTATTTTCATCTTTTCTTAAATAGTTCGATCAAAGTTTAGTCGGATTTCAATAAAGTTCCAACAAATCATAAACACGATCTTCCTTATAAACGTCACTTTCAATAATATTCTCAACATCTTCGATGAAAAATGAAAATGATGAAGGAAAAGTTCTGTATTATTCCAATAAGTCAAAAAGTCGAAAAATTATTTTATTTATTTATTTATTTATTTTATTTTATTATTTTTTTTTATTCATTATTTATTTATTTTTTATTTATTTATTTATTTTATTTTATTTTATTTTATTTTATTTCATTTTTTATTTATTTATTTATTTATTTATTTTATTTTTTTTTTTTTTTTTGCAAAAAGAAAAACATTATATCTAACCACAAAACACTAATGAAAATATGAAACATGCATACTCCTGCCCATATCTGCATGGCAAATTACCAGTAAAAGTGTCCAAGTGAAATATATGGAGATAACGAACAGTATTCAAGCTCAAAAGTCCATTTAACAATAAAAATTATGGAGCAGAGCAAACACGGACCTCTAAGACATCAGAGGTGGGATCAGGTGCCATGGAGGAGTGAGCATCCCCTGCCGACCGGTCACAACCGCCGTGTGCTCCTCAAGTTGTCATGATCGGGAAATAACGAGAACATCCGTCGACAATTCATTGTGTAAATAATGTGATATCTTACTTGCAAGATGAAAGTTGATTGTGTCAACATGCATAATAACTAATAGATGTTAACATGCATCTTATTTAGGTTGACCTGGTGCTAATTTATATCGTCTTGTAACTTGAACATGTTGACATGAAAGTTATATGTGTAACTTTTCAGCACGGGCGACATTGTGTACCGATGGACGACAATATGTGCAGTGAGGGTATGTATACATATTGTACAAAACGACAATATGTACCGACACACATCTTAAAATGAATATTTTAATTTATTTTATTTCTAAATGGAATTGAAAGAATATTTAAGTTTTGAAAGTAGCATAGAAAATACGTGTAAATGAATTCAAGAGGACAGATATTCTTTAAAATTTTCATTCACCTAAGCCTCTCCTTTAAGAAAGGGGTACATGTATGTAGTGTCCGTAACCCAATGCTTTCACTGGGCAGTTACATGTAGTAGTTTAAAATCCAAAAGGCAAAGTTTCCTGTATTAAAAAAATACTATGCAAAGATATGCACGACACTAAGTTTTGGATTTGTATGATGTATTGATCAATCTCTCTTGAATTAAGTTTGTAAGAAGGATTAAGAAGAACCATTTTTTGTCAAAAATGATTACCAGTAGATTTGGTGTTTATCCATGCAAGCAAATAAATATTTCTCTGGATAAAAGCTTACATAGATTCATGGAGTTTAATGTTTTACTGTTGCAAAGGTTTCAAAATATATTAAGTTTGATGCAGTTTTAAGTATTTTATATAGAGAATAGTGATCCTTGTAATGCCCATAACAAGCAAACACTAGGTAGTGTGTAACAGAGTGCAAAAAAAAATGTTTCCCGATGAGCATCCGCAAACCCAATGAGTTTCTTAAACTTAAGACATTTTGTTTTCAAGAAAAATGCTTTTTTAAGTCAATTCAAAAGCCTTCAATTTCCACCCTAAGTGAAATCATACTGTTCCCTTAATTGTGTTTTACCCATATATTTGTTTTGTTTTGTCTTTTTTTTAGATTGGTCAATCTTTGGAAATGTTGAAAATGCTTCATTTTTTGAAAAATCGGTATATAATTATATTGAAAGAAACAATTTTAGCGATTTTATAATGGCAAGATATATAATTATTAACTCTTACCTCCGATGCGGAAAGAATTGTTGACCAGCAATATTTAATTGGAGCGATCTCAATACCCTCGCCGTAATAATTTCATAAAATTATTGACCAATCAGCACTTAAAGGTGCATAGACACAGATTTGAAGTTTATATTTTCTCAAATTTTCTGTATAATATCACAACTTATATATTGCTATAGCATTTCACACCAAAATAAAATTAAAAACTTATTTAATCTGGAAATTATTGAAACTAAGAATTTCGGAAGGCGTTTGATTAATACATCCTTGCGCTTTCACAATTTTTAACTTTATCCTTAATACTTAAGAAAAGTAGCAATTTTGTTGTGTATTAATGAATAATATTACATCTATAATCCAGAAAATTCAGAGTAAAAATGTGCGAAAGCAAAACCCACTCACCTAAGTATTGTCAGCCCGTGCTCAGTGTTGTGTAGTTGTGTACAGAGTTAAACAAATTGAATACACCCGTGAAACGTAAATTGTTTTTTGTAAACAGGGCACGAGCTCTGTTGTTGTTAATGTTTACGTTTCACCGGGTGTGTTCAATTGTTAAACTCTGCACACACCACTGAGCACGGACTGACAATAGAGGATTTTGCTTTCTACATTTCTACTATGAAATTTCTACATTATAGTTTTAATATTTTTCATTAATAAACAACAAAATTGCTACTTTTCTAAAGTAATAAGGATAAAGTTAAAATTTGTGAAAGTGCAAGGTTGTTTCTATCAAACGCATCCAGAAATTAGAAGTTTCAATAACTTCCAGATAAAATAAGATCTTTATCAAATTTTCGTATGAAATGCTATAGCAACATATAAGTCGTGAAATTATACAGAAAATTTGAGTAAATATTAACTTCAAATCTGTGTCTAAGCAGCTTTAAAACGACAAGGTCTCTTGCCTCTTAGCAGCAAAAAGAAACTCTTGAAATTGTAATAATTATCATTTGTTGAATGTAAATCTGATTTTTTGAAATTTTCCGTTTAAATACTCGTCTAATGATCACACTTTGTAACAGTATATTTAGATTATTACATATATAACGAATCTCATAATCTTACATAATGGCATTTGTTTTCATAAGAAAAATATATTCAAGATTTTTTTAAAGCCATACGTAACAAAATTTAAAAAAAAAATAGCAGAATTTAATATTAAAAAGAAATAACTTTTTTATGTCGCCCTCTCCATACGTTTCAAAGTTGAGCTCTCTTGCTTTAATATAGTGTGCACTAGCTGAGGTTTTCCTTTCGTCTTTTCTTGTTAAAGATTTTTAAAATATAGAAAATAAAAGACCTTAAAACAGCTTGAGATTAAACCATTGTATTTTTCCTTCAGTATAAATTCATTCATTAAAATGAAATATAAAAAAAACTTTCATTTGCATTCATTGATTGCTCCAAAAATCGTTTCACAATCATGATAGGTCGCCTAAATTGTTTTATAGACTAAAACACCAGATGAAACTTGACACAGGTATGATGAATTAAATTGCTTTAGAAATTACTTCGTTTTAATTCATCGTCATACCATATAATATATACATATAATCAATAAAAATAGCTGGAATCAACAATAAGTCTTGTTCTTTCTTCGAGTTGTCACAATAAAAATGTTTTATCAATATATAAAGCAGATCATAAAATTATTCTCAGAGTTATATAAAATGATTTTGTACACCTTAAAATGTATCTCTCCTCCTGAAATTTTGCATCAATAAATTTATTTCTGACATAAAATAAATAATAATACAAAGCCTTTTAATTAAAGTTGATCAATGAAACATTATGTTATGTTTATCAATCAACAGAAATGTATTGAAACTTTTATTTGTATTGGTAAGTGAGATTGATTTTACTCTAAATCGGCGACATCTATACAGTATTCTCGTCAGCTTAATTGAGACACTGATTTTTAATTTGCGTTGAAACACTCAATGAATGCTTTTGACAAACAGAGGTAACTAGAAATCGATTGAAAGAATAATAAGGAGCCGCACAAAACTCGTTGGAAGTCGAAGGTAGATGAAGATAGAGAAGAGCTGTTTTGTTGTCATCAAAAAATGTTTCTAAAGATCATGATCCTAATGTTTTATTTACAAGAAATTTACATGAATAAATTAGGTACGTATACATTTTTTACTTTCCTAGTTGCAAACATTTTTTTAATCATTTTATTCGATATCGTCGACATCAAAATAATAAATCTGACATGTATGTTCTATGTACTGAATTATGAATCCAAGTCCAAAAGAAAAATATCAAACTTGTTCTCTCAAATACCGAAGAATGCAAGTTCCAGTTTTATTTATGCATACCAAAGTGGTTTCTGCAACAAAATAAGGAATTAGTTGACAAAGTTTGTTGCTGTTGCTATGGAAACAAAAGAGAGAGAATTTTCTTTTTAGTTTGAAAGCACATGAAAGGCATGTTTTTTTCCCCATCTAAATATGTTTCAAACTTCATATAATTCATACAAAGTGTATCCGCATGTTTTAAAGGTTTAAATTTTCCAAAATGGCTGTCGTTACCGTGGAAACAAAATGGGTAAATTTCTAAACTTTTTCTAAATTTAAAAAATTAGTTACTTAATCTGCTCTCAATTGCAATATTGCACCTTTGGGGTCATCTTTATTACGATTTTAATGGAATATGACTTACAATTATTTTTACTTTTAAGAACATATTTAATTTATACCCCCAAAAATGACTTTGATAAATTCATTTCTCGAAGATAACTCTGGAAGTACTTTTTTTTTTTTAATAAAGCTTTGCCACATTAATGATTTCCGTTCCTCAACCAGGAACGATAACTCTTTAAATTATTATTACATTTTAAAAAGTCTCAGAATGAAGCTTGAAATTCATATCTTTTTGAACAATTTTCATTTCATGCATCTCAATATGATTCAAGGTTCTTCAAGTTTAAGAAACAGGCTTGTTAAAAGTGGACATTTGTACCCCATACAAGTACTTGTAACAATAAAAATTTTTTCGAGAAATTGTATTTCCTTTAATCTAGTCTTAGATACCAAAGTTTATTGGCATGATATGAAATAAGAAGTGATATGTGATGCCTTGCAATGAAAAACCAGATTTTTACACTATATATATTATACAACTGAAGTAAATAGAAGACGTAAAGTACCGTACAAGTAAAAAAAAAAATTAATTTTCTCCAAATTCCTGAATCCCTATATTGTTTTGTCCGAATATATATTGTTTATCAATTTTCAAATAGAAAATGCAGAGCAGGGTGCTTTATTCGCTTTTCTTGAAAATATATTTGAGATTTTGTAATTCTCCCTATATTATATGATGAACTTCGACGAAATACCATGAGTAAATACACATTACTTCGAGAATTGAGAGACATTTTTGTGAGCAATTTTTAATTACCCAACTTCTGATTTTGAGAACCTTTGGATCGTACTATAAGTACCTGAAATATCTTTCTCTTACGATACCGTTTCAAAGGAATTTTACATTTATAATCAATCTAATTAAAATTAGATGTTCCGAATCCGCTACCACTTCCGGAACATCTAATTTTAATTAGATTGATTTATAATTTACTTCGTAGATGACATAAATTAGATTTAATGAATAGAGATGATGTTTTCCTTCTGTGTATGTGTATGTGTGGGGGGGGGGGGGCAAATAAAGTATTGCTTTCAGTTTTCCAGAGAATTGCATGCTAGCAAAGTAAAAAAAATAAAAAGGTCCAAAGATTCATTGTATTACTTTTTTTCGAAACAAAATGACAATACTTGTCTTTAGTACAGTTTTCAAAAATATTCATTTCAACATTGTAGTGCATTGCTTGAGTTACAGTCACATGGTGTTTCAACGATACCAAGAACCATCCCCAACTCTTACGTTCAGTTCTACAGCCATAACTTCAAACTTGGTTTCAAAGTTGACAGAATGTTTTTTTCTATGCCGGGAAACATCTCGGTGTGCCTCTGTGTTTTTTGATGAAAATAGTCACAATTGTTCAATTTTTGGAGAAAGCACCGAGGTGAAAGGATTAGGAGAAAATCAGCGATACTTCGTTATGCAAAAGAATGTTTTGTACCAAGATATCTTAGGTAAGTCTTTTTTTGTTAGTAAATATTTTTAGTATATAATTTCGAAAACTTAAACAAAAAATCCAATATAGGAACAATAGTTATACACTGTAAAGATATATTACAAACCAGATGACGTATCGAGCATACATTTAATCATAAATGTTTTATACATTAAAGGGGCCTGCGTTGTTTAGAATTTAAAATTTCTATTTTTATTTAAAAAAAAAATATAACTTCGTTTAATGAATTGAACTTACATAGATATTCTTAGAATTCAATGAAAGAGCAATTCTTCATAACATCAAGACAATCCACACTGGCTCAGTTTTTGTTAACGTTAGTGTGTTCAATTTATTTACTCTCGCATCACTGAGCGCGGACTGAAAATACTGATGAATTGGGTTTGCTTTCTCACATTTCTATTCTAAATTTTTCTGGATTATATTTTTAATATTTTTCATTAATACACAGCAATTTTTTTTTACTTTTCTTAAGAGTTAGGATAGAGTTTAGTTCAGGTGTCAATCAAACGCTTCCCGAAATTCGTAGTTTTAACAATTTCCAGACAGAGGAAGTAAGAAAGTTTATTAATAAGGTTCATTGACCCTCTGATAAGAGAGGTAACTCTTACAAGAATTCCTTTATACAATTGTCAATGTTTAACAAATTCTGCCCTGCAAGGTATGCTTCAATTGCGTGCACTTCACTTATGAATTTGATTTTTGTTGGAAATCCTTAGCATTGAAGCATAACTTCAAATGAGTAAAAAGGGGTAGGATCAATCTTAAACAGATCAAATATAGGAAATTACAATAAAATTTAATCACAGGAATACATACTTATTGTAGGTTATTCCCAATATCTTTGTTCCGAGAACAACTCTGGATATGTTCATGATGCCACTGTACCTGTTTGCTATAAGATTGACCCTACACCTAGAACTAGACCAAACGCCATCTTGTCATGTGAAAATTTCAACGGACATCTTTTGAGAATAAACACACAAAGAAAACAAAAATTTGTGGAGGATCTTAACCTTAAAGGGACAGGTAATGAAGCAGGGTGTATATTTGTCAATATTCTCTCTGAAGTTGAACGTAAATTTCTAAACCTTTCTTATTAGATATTGCATTTTGTTATTGGTAAATGGGGAAATTGTCACCCCCAAAAAACCTTTGTCAATCGAGGCGCAAACTTAAAACAAGAGAATTATTTTCTCATTATAAAAAATACATCTACACGATTCAGTGACTTGTCAGATAATTGTAGCGACTGTATTATACAAAATCAGTTGTCTATTTGATTTTTTTTTTAACTCATCCGCGCCATGTTCACATTATCTTTCATGTAGAGGAGTCAGATTCCCTTTGTAGTATACTTGAAACATTGAAAAACCCAAAACAAAAACAAAACAAAAAAATCGTAGTATTCAGTGTTGCAAATTTCTCATCATTTGTATTGGAAAAATAAGGTGGAATTTAACTTTTAATTTTTTTTTCTTATTTCTCACACTATACAGGGTGCTTACTTATAATAAATTATTCTGTACAGGGTGCTTATAATTACTTCAGAAAAGAGATAAAAGTACTTCAAGCATGATTGATTAATAAATTCAATTGGATTGTCCCTTCCTTACTTTTAGAAGATAAATTTTTGAAGAATTTTTTTTGCAACCTTGAAAAATGAAATATGTTGAGATAACGAACAGTATTTGAGCTCAAAAGTCCATCAAACATTACAAAATAGGAGTAGAGCAAACACGGATCTCCAAAACTTCAGAGGTGGGATCAGGTGCGATGGAGGAGTGGGCATCCCCTGCCGACCGGTCACACCCGCTGTGCTCCTTGTAATGATCGGGAAATAACGGAAAAATCCATCGACAAATCAGTGTGTAAATAATGGACTAAATAAATACTACAATTAGTATGAAAAAAGTCAGTCAGCATTTGACTTAATGAAAGATTGTATTTGCTGACTAGGTCATTGTATCGACCATAGAACTTACGAAATGATGACTTTAAACGAGACTGCTGATATTCTTGTTTCATCTACTTGTTAGTCAATAATTTACCTCGTTTCAGAAATTGTTCATACGTAGAGCATGCTCTTGCGTATCGAATCAACTGAGAGATATAAAACCCGTATGCAGGTGATAAGGGTATATTGATGCACAAGTAAGGGAAGTTGGCGATTGAAAAGTCATCACGTTTGTCATAAAGTTTTGTTGTTAGATTACCATTAAAGTCTTTTTCTAATAAAATATCCAAATATGAAACAGACGTGTCAGACTCTGTGGTATCTTTTATCTCAAGCTCACCGGGATATATCGTGTCGACATAAGAATGGAAATAGCCATTGTTAATTGACCATACGTCGTCGATATATCTAAATGTCGAGTTGAAGGCCACAGCAAGTGTTTTCTTCTTTTCACGTAAAAGATTTTGAACAAATTCTGCTTCATATGAATACACAATTAGGTCTGCTAATTGGTACCCATGGAAATCCCAATAGTTTGTTGGAAGACCTGGTCTCCAAAAGCCACATAGATATTGTCAATCAGAAACTTGAGCATCTTTTTACTGTCAACTTCAGAGTTAGTATAATAAATCTCTGTTCGCCTCCATGAAAGACCGTAGACATTGTTCTGGTTGCTATAATTGTGATTAATATGGTCAACTGCAATAAAACACCATCCGTCGTTTGTGATTCCTTGTTTCTTTTACATCGGGAAAATTCATCAGAAGTAAAAACAAATTATAATATACATGCAGTGCAATCATTACAACTAGATCCATAAAAATGTATAACGAAAAGCAACAATGTTTTATCGAAACTTAAAATAGTGAACTCTACCACCCATAATTGCTTACTTGTGCATCGAAAATTCTATATTCAAATTTATGAAGTCTCTACACATGTTTGTTCGATTTGTGAAAGTGTGCACTTTTATAATTACATGTATGTACGATAATGAAATGTGAAGAAAACTAATAGTAAACATGCTCAAAAGTCCAAATAATGAAATGTGAAGAAAACTAATAGTAAACATGCTCAAAAGTCCAAATAATGAAATGTGAAGAAAACTAATAGTAAACATGCTCAAAAGTCCAAATAATGAAATGTGAAGAAAACTAATAGTAAACATGCTCAAAAGTCCAAATAATGAAATGTGAAGAAAACTAATAGTAAACATGCTCAAAAGTCCAAATAATGAAATGTGAAGAAAACTAATAGTAAACATGCTCAAAAGTCCAAATAATGAAATGTGAAGAAAACTAATAGTAAACATGCTCAAAAGTCCAAATAATGAAATGTGAAGAAAACTAATAGTAAACATGCTCAAAAGTCCAAATAATGAAATGTGAAGAAAACTAATAGTAAACATGCTCAAAAGTCCAAATAATGAAATGTGAAGAAAACTAATAGTAAACATGCTCAAAAGTCCAAATAATGAAATGTGAAGAAAACTAATAGTAAACATGCTCAAAAGTCCAAATAATGAAATGTGAAGAAAACTAATAGTAAACATGCTCAAAAGTCCAAATAATGAAATGTGAAGAAAACTAATAGTAAACATGCTCAAAAGTCCAAATAATGAAATGTGAAGATAACAAACAGTGATCATGCTCAAACTTCCATTTAAATTATATACTAGTAAACTATAAGCAGAAAACAGAGGTATGTCGATGTTGATGGTTCACACCCACCGTCTGCTCCTTGTCATGATCTGGTAAACAGAAAAATCTGTAGACAATTCAGTGTGAAAATAATGGCCTAACAATTTGTATGTAAGATGTCAGTCAAAGTCGACTTAACGAAAGATTGTATTTGCAAACAAGGCCATTGATACACTCATAGAATTCGAAATGTGGACTTTAAAGGAGATTGTCGATATCCTTGTATCATCTACTTATTTGTCAATAGCCGTCAAATTTTAGAAATTGATCAGACGTAGAACATGCTCTTGCGTATCGAATCCATTGGAAGACATAACTTCATATGCAAGTGATATAAATGGTATTTTGCTGCATACATAAGAGAAGTTGACGATAAAAAGTTGAAGTCACCAGCAAGGTTTATCAGAAAGTTTAGTTGCTAGTTTGCCTTTAGTGTCTTTCTCTAGTAAAATACCTAAATATGAAACGAATGTGTCAGACTCTGTGGTGTCTTCTATTCGGAGCCGGTTCAATGGGGTATATCAAATCAACGTAGGAATGAAATTGAATGTCGCTAATTGATAAACGTCGTCGATATACCTAAATTTGAATTGAAGGCCACAGCAAGAGACTTCTATTTACGTAGAAAATTTAATAAAATCTGCTTTATACAGATAAAAAACAGGTGTGCTGTAATAACGTTGCACAATTAGTACCCATGGCCATTCTAACAGATTGTTGGAAGACCTGGTCTCCAAATCTATATGGATATTTTCAATGACAAATTCAAGCACCTTCTTAATATCAACCTTGGAGTACTTGTGTGTAAAATCAGAATTATTTTCAACAAAATAGGTTTGCGGATAGCCAATGATATATTGAGCAGTTGTTTATGATGTCAAAAAGCCTGGTATTTAATTTATTGTGGGGTGTCGGTTGATTATATAAAAAGTTGAAAAGTCATACGCTTTGATGCTATTGATATTAGTAAAAGAGGGTGTTGCAGTTCTTTTGTTATTTTCCCTAAAGTTGTAGCAGTTTAAAAGAAAAATTTAAAGTAACGGGAAACGGTCTTATTTTTTTCAGATACAACGGTATATACAACACAATGTAGAATAATATTTAGAAACTGCATATCGACTTCCAATTTGCCATTAAATGAAGTGTAAATTAGTCACATAGCAAAATAAGTCAAGTTTTCTGTTTTTCAAATAGGGAATCCCCATTGTTCTGAAAAATTGCCTCCTTGAAACAGAATGAATTTGATATCCGCATGAAGAGACATCATTTTTCTTCAAAACTGCCATTTCCGATTTTTGTTTCAAAGAGGCATATTTTTGAAAATCACAAAAATCGAAGAAAAATTATTATCCACCCGAAATGAAAAGTGTGTACATAAAATAGCACAGTATACTTCAGTGTCGGAGCTGGTCTAGTGGTAAAGCGTGTGGACTCCATACGAAGTTTCTTTTTACCTGAGAATGGGTTCGAATCCTGGAATGGCTGGTATATACATTTTTTTCTTATACACTATAATGGAAGTACAGTGTAACAACTCTCTTGAGAGAGGGAGAGAATGTCAGAAAGTTGATGGGTAATATTTTAAATAAATGCAGAATTAAAATGTTTTCTTTGATATTGTGTCTAAAACTAATAAGACATACATTTAATATTATTTAGTGGCAATGTCTTAAAAAATAAAGTACTATCATTTAAAATAATTTAATTTATTCATATTCATTTCGTTTCATTATTGTTCTGTTAATTAGTGGCTCAGATTTGACTTGAAAAAATAAATTGAAATGACTCAATGGAATTTCTTGGATATTGCATCAATAGCGTTGTATATACTGAAAAATATTAAAGCACGCTTTTTACAGTACATCTTTCAAAATGATGTGCGAGTCTATTTAGGAAAAACTATGCATGATATTAACATAAAATGTGAAATGTTTCGTTATAACAAGCTGGACATACCCGCTGTATAAATAAAGCCATCTGCGTAGCATTATCTATATTTAGAGGTAACTCTTTGTGCGTCGTGGGTATTTAAATGTCCTTCTCGATTTAGGGAATGATCACGAGTTTCTGCAACACCCTCTTTTGTGATTTCAAATTTTCTAAAAGTTAATAGGAGTTTTTAAGTATCCACATCTAATTAAAACCACTTCTAGAATATGTTTGTGTATAGTACAAGTTCTCCCGAAGTTTCTCCTTCACTGCTGTTAATATTTTCTTGTGGAGTAAAGAAATAAGCTTGGTAGAACATTTACTAAAACTTACTATGTGTCTTTGTTTGTCAGGATTTTTAATGAAGTTTATTTAATTAAGGAAATCAGTATATGCATGGTGGGTCAAAATCAAATTTATACATTGTTGGGAATATTGATATAACTGACATGTGATTTTCCCCTCCTTAGAAAGGATGCCAGAGCAAGAATCTCTGATCCAAGCTTTTGTAAAATCTTCATATGTAATTATTTCTTTCAAGAAAAGAAATACATGTTCAGATGTTCCTTAATACCTCTGCATACTTTTTTTTGAAGATTTAATAGGAAAGTACCGAGTTGATGGAGACAAAACCAGTGGTGTGTGGAAATTCTCCGATGGAAAGCTCATATCAGAATTTTACTGGTACCCTGGTGAGCCAGCAAACCCGGGAGCCACGTCAATAGGCCTCAGGGTGGCATACATGGGCAAATGGGATGACATCGCAGAGAATGTGCAACACGGCAGTATCTGTGAAAGGGATATAGAATTTGAATGAATGTTTCTACATAAACACAGAGTCTTTATGATGGTTGATATCAAAATGCAGATTGATTTTTTTAGTTTTAAAATTTGTACATTTACCAATAGAAATGTGCTTTTCATGCACAAATCACATTTTGTTACTGATTTTGAAATATGTATGCCGAAACTGTACAGCTGAAACATAGTGTGACGTCTCAGACTTTGACGTATTGTGATACATGGTACATTAATTAAGGAGTATTTTAACATAAATACTCTCGTAATTTATGTTTTAGACTGTCTGTATGTGTACAAATGCTAGAAATAAATCCCTACAGCTTCCAGTACCTACACAGATAATTTCAAGGACTTTGTTTGGAGAATGCCCTTAACATCTCGCCGTCACAAACCACGGTTTTGAGTCCACAAGCTACATCGATGAAAGAAAGAATCGATGTGAATCACCCGTGGGTTACAGACGATGTAAACATCTGAGGAAAAACTACAAATTATTCTAAAGGAATTCAGAACTCGTTTGGAAAAATTCAGAATCTGAAATTGGATCTTTATGCAAAAAACTAATTCTGTTAGAAGTAGATATGGTTTAACCAAAACGAATTCGAATTCGTGTATGGAGGGGTTAAAAATGTTAGAATAGTTTACAACAGCATTGAGTATGCTTAATAAAATCATGCAAAACCAATTTTTCTGCCATTTAAGTAAACCTAAAAACAAAGATGAATCTAAGTTAGCTGCAGATCTGTAGCTCGCTGGTTTGAAAAAATTGGGATGGATGACCAGAAAGCTACAGTGCCCCCATTGAAACAAGAGGTCCATGGGCCACGACGCTCACCTGTCGCAACTTGCGCCCTGCTGTTCTGCGTCAGCTTTTTCCCCAAGTATAATGTATTCCTATGTCAAATTTTGATTGTCTTTTATGGCTCCACCTTATATATACCCTATATACAGGAGCCATGATTTGAAAATAAAAATCTACACTACCAGAGCATGCTTCCACTTTAGAATGATACATCATAGCTTTGCTGTTCTTGAGTAGAGGAGTTTTAAAGATTTTTCCCTTTGTGACCCCGCCCTACCCCCGGGGACCATGATCTGAACAATTAACAATCTACATTACCTTAAAAAGCTTCCACTTAAGTTTCAGATTTTCTGGTCCAGCAGTTCTTAAGAAGAAGATTTTTAAAGATTTTTCCTATATATTTCAATGTAAAACTTTGATTTCCTATTGTGGCCCCGATGGTCTTAATATGAACAATTTAGAATCTACACAACCTTAGAAAGTTTCCATATAATTTTCAGCTTTTCTGGTCTAGTTGTTCTTGAGAAGATTTTTTAAAAAGATTTTTTCCTAAACATTTCAATGTAAAACTTTGATTCCCTATTGTAGCCCAAGCCTATATCCCCGGGGCCATGAGGTGAACAATTTAGAATTCAGACTACCTTAGAAAGCTTCCACATAAGTTTCAGCTTTTCTGGCCCAGTGGTTCTTTAGAAGAAGATTTTTCAATGACTCCACCCTTATTTTCCTTCTCTTGATTATCTCCCCTTGGAAGAGGGGTTGGTCCTTGATTTTTAAAATTTAGAATCTCCTTTACCCAGGTATGCTTTGTACCAATTTTGGTTAAAGTTGGCCCAGTGGTTCTTGAAAAGTTGAGAAGTGAAAAGTTTGTAGACGGACAATGGACAGGTAATCACAAAAGCTCACTTGAGCTTTCAGCTCAGGTGAGTTAAATAGTGTATATTTATTGCGCACAAAATGACTAATTATAACTAATTTAACTAAATGCACTTTAAAGAGATTGAGATTGTATTAAGGACAGACGATACATTCCTCAATGATATATGTATTTTTCAAAGAATTTGTCACTGAAGTATTGCTTCTTTAATATGTTTACTCGCAAAAAATTGAGGTACCTTACCAGGCATTTGTGCAAGATACCAGAGGATGTTGTTTCCTATAAAATCCTTTTGGAAAAAAACATTTTTTAGTGTTTCAGTTTTTTAAATACAATTAGAAACAAGTTTAGAAATCAGAAGGTACTAGTAATTAAACTTTGGAATATTTTCCATACAATACGAAGATATATAAAGCAGATATTTGAGGAACGTATCGTCTGACCTTAAGTTCTTTGGTTTCTCCGTCTGTCATACTATAAATCTTTTTGCATTTTAAGCAGTAGCAAAATTCATCTTTTGGAGCCCTGCACATGTGCAATAGGGTTTTAGAACTTTCTTTCTCATCCTGGTGGCAAATTGTGGTTGAAAATGACGTTTTTCTAGATAAACAATGTTCCCAAAACTCCTCTTGCATCTTATGGAATATGACTGATGTACATTGAGGTTTTTTTAATTTTCATCCAGGTGGCCAGTTTTGTGTTATGCTATATCATTAGAGGCCATGGGCTACAAACTCAATACATTTTATTCTGAAATTGATACATGTATGTTCATGTAAATTATAGAATAACTATTGTGGTTTCTTCTAGATATATTTACCCAGGTGAGAAGGATAAAACATACTTATGTGCGAGTATAACTCTCTTGAACAGCATTTAGTTTTTATAAAATTTTAATTTTGATTTAATTGTTTTTGAATGTACATTTGTGTGCATTTACTGACACCACATACATCGTGACTTTTTTGAATTTACTCACAAAACTGTTATATATAATATGACTTACAAAAACAAAATCAGTAGATGACATGCAGATGTAAATTAATAAATTCTTTACATATAACTTTCTCTTCACGATATGCATCATATAATGTATAGACAATATTGTAATAATGTGTTTTATTATATGATCGAATAATTCCTGTCTCTCTGATTGGCTGAGATCCAACACTGTAGAATATTCACCCGCACGTGACCTTCCAGGTGAATATAAGGATTTGTTTTTCTCTGTATTAGACTAAAAATACATTGGGAAATTCCAAATTGATACAAATAGCTTTGGAAAATTATTTCATCTGCACCTAACTTCCACTAATAAGAACATAACATTAAAGTACATAGAATCTTAGGTGAAGGGTGTATAAGTGGGATGGGGTTAAGGGGTGTTACAAGGGGCTTGCCCCTCTCCCCACCCTTTTTGAGAACTTAATTTTTTTTTTAATTTAAATTTTAAGGAAAAAAAATGTTCAATGAAAGCCCCCTCCCCCATTTATGAACCTTAACATTCCACCAAATAAATCTTTGATTTGGGAGGTCTCTTTTTCGGGGGGGATCTCTTTTTGGGGGGGGGGGTCAAAGATTTTTTCCAGGTAAGTTGTCTTTTTAGCTCATCTGAGGCGAAGGCTCAAGTGAGCTTTTCTGATCACATTTTGTCTTGCATCAATCTGTCTGCCCGTCTGTCTAGATGTCCGTCTGTCTGTCTGTAAACTTTTCACATTTTCGACTTCTTCTCAAAAACAACTGAGCCAATTAATTGTGGCAAGGCCACAATAGAAGAACAAAAGAGGAAAATTTCTTGAAAAATCTACTTAAGACATGATTAGTCAAAGAAATGTGGAAGCATCCTCAGGTAGTGTAGACTGAAGTTTGCTCAAATCCCCCTCCCTCCGGACCACTTTTATATTTAATCTTTTCAATACTGAACTTTTTTTGCTTTTTTCAAGCCAAAGTGTTCAGATGAGCGATTTGACCCACGGTTCTCTTGGTCCATTTTTTTTTTTTCAAAATTGGTCCGATATTCATACCTGATATTTATTTTTTTCTACATTGCACCTAAAGTAGAATTAAAAATTCCAAGTTAATACAACTGGTTATGTTAATTTTAACCGTGGGCCCGTTTCTCTCATTAACCCTAGCTAGTACTTCAATAAATGTAAATAAGTAAGATGTCATTTGATCGTTGAATCATATAATAAAACGATTATTGCTGCTTTTTTTTTCGGTCAATACGATGATTTAGCCACCTTCAAAGTACAATATTCACCTCGCCATAATTCAGTCTCAGTGAATCGTATTGACCTAGCTCAAAACCAGCAATAGTTGTATAATATTGCAATGAAGGTATATGTTCTTGATTATTGCTTTTAAAAAAGAAAATGCGATAATAATTATAGCTCTGCAATAGAGAAATGTACAATAATCACAAAATGTTTGGGGGTCTTAACCAGACAATGGCCTTTATAATTCAGTGCATTTCTAGCTTTTTTTATGCCCCCGTATCGAAGATTCGAGGGTGTATTGTTTTTGCCTTGTCCGTCCGTCTGTCTGTTTGTCTGTTTGTCCGCAAAAACTTTAACCTTGCCCATGACTTTTGATTGGTTGGAACTATGGCTTTCATATCTCACATGTGTATTCCTTGTGACAAGACCTTCTTTTGGATACCAACAACTTTGAACTTTTGACCATGGCCTAGATGTTTGACCTACTTTTGAAAAACTTTAACCTTGGCCATAACTTTTGATCAATTGGTGCTAGGGCTTTCATACTTCACATGTGTAAACCTTGTGACAAGACCTTCCTTTTGATACCAACAACTTTGACCCTTTGACCTTGACCTAGGAGTTTGACCTACTTTTGGAAAACTTTAACCTTCGTCATAACTTTTGAACGATTGGTGCTTCGGCTTTCATATTTCGCCTGTGTATTTCTTGGCAGAAGGCCTTTCCTTGGGCACCATTAATTCTGACCATTTGACCCTGACCTTGATGTTTGACATACTTTTGAAAAAAACTTTAACCTTTCCATATCTATTCAATGGTTGCTGCTAGGGCTTTCATATTTCACAAGTTTATTCCTCGAGACAAGACCTTACTTTGGGTACCAACATACATGTATTTGATTTGCATTTGATAAAGTTTAACCTTTGCTATAAGTTGCCATACGGGGGCATCAGTGTTTCACAAGCACATTTTGTTTAAAGTTTGCATCCTTAAAATATTCCTTTGAAAAATACGTCTTTCAAATGATAATGCGAATTTTGTAATTGATTAATATGAATTTTCCCCCGATATTGTACAACTGGAAGGTATTTTTCTTACAGTATAACGCACTTTTCTCAGTTCCAGACTCTGTCAATACATGGAAAACACACACACACACACACACACACACCCTCTCACACACACACACACACACACATGGCAGATTTCATATGGATTCCATAGGTTTCAAATAGATTTTGACGACAAAGATTTTGTTGTCGCACGCGATAATGAGATCAAGATGGAGCGATAGCGAAGACGAAATGATACGATGGCGATGGCGCAACAATGGCTCTTTCTACACTTCTCCAATATAAACACTCATCTTCGATATGTTATAGTCTTTAACATACTGACAGAATGTACACTTTTCCTTTAGATATTGTTTCCAAATACTTATGTATATAAAAGAAAGGACTGTGGACGATAGCATTGTTTCGCCGCCTACCTCCAAGTCAATTTTCAAAAGCCATCATATTCTATTTATTTATTTTATTTTATTTTACTAATATAGGTGAAAGAAAATTTTCTTTTTACAGACATTACTTATCTTATAATCATTAGACCACTGTATGAACAATTTCAAATAATGTACAACTACAAACTTTTACGTAATTAATCAGATATAGTTAATTTTACATGTAAGTAAACAATACTGAAAGATTAAGAGGTCATATATTCGCGTCTTGAGTGTTGATTCGATGGCGTTTAAAGTCTGAAATTTGCATCCCCTCACCAGATAGGGTTAAAATTTAAATCAATTAATTAATTGGCATTGGTATTAGAGTTATCAATTGCATTGTAATTACAATGGAAAGTCTATTTTGCATTCGAAAATGCTGAATATGTTGATTTATGTATTTGTAAAATATAGCGGGAATCAAGAATTAGCGTTCACAGTTCCTTAATTACAACTTATTTAAGACACTTGTCTTAAAAAAAATCTCAACTGTTGAGAACCAACAACAAGGCCAAAGATTTACAAAGTCCTAAGCATATCTTTTCGCTTAAACGTCTTTCGAATTGCAGATTGCATGGTCTTAAGAAGCGGGTACGCCCTCCACCCCCACCCCCAAATAATTAGTACACAAAATTTTACCAAAATCAATGACATCAAAACGTACGACCCCCCTCCCCTTTCGATGCTACGTGCCTGTATGGGGTTTATATATCTCCCAAGCAGTTGAATGATGCGCAAGAGCATACTCCACGTAAGAACAATTTCAAACGAGACAAGCTATTGACAAACAAATGGGTAAAACAAGGATATCAACAGGCTCGTTTAAAGTCATCATTTCGCAAGTTATATGGTCGATACAATGACTTTGTCAGCAAATATAATCTATTATTACGTTGAATTCTCACTGACGTTTTTCAAACTAATTGTTAGGCCATTGTTTGAACACTGAATTGACTACGGATTTTTCCGTTTGCCCGATCATGACAATAAGGAACCGAGGGGTGACCGCCCGACAGGGGATGCTTACTCCTCCATGGCACCTGATCCCACCTCTGATGTCTTTAGAGGTCCTTGTTTGCTCTGTTCCTGATTTGTATTGTTTCAATGAACTTTTGAGCTTGATTACTGTTCGTTATCTCCATATTTTAAAGAAATCATAGCTACTAAATATGCTTCATTTTGTTTGGTGCTTATTCATTTTATATTCACTAAAAACACTCTCTTTTTTTTCTTTTTGACTGTGTTCTACCTTTCTGTTTGTTCTAGATGAAATCCCGCGCAAGCGCGGGGAATTGAATTTATACCACTACCGACAGAAAAAAATCTAATAATATATATATTGTAGTTTCTACTGACAGCCTACAGGCTAATAGCAAGAAGAAATACTTTGTTCAAAATCCCGCATGAAGTAGAAGTACGTCTCCAACCCCAACCCCCCAACCCCAACCCCCCGTAAAACTTAAATAACAAAATCATTAATTGATGTTTATTGTGAAACCTGTTATATACAATGTACTATGTTATGGATATTGTACTTCAAATGCTCTTATTTCATTTCCGTCACGAATAAAAGCAGTGAATATGCACATTTTACTGAGAAATAGAATTTTTTTGGTAAAAAATCACAGGTACTTGGGTCTTGGTTTATAAATATGGATGTACCTTATTGATATGTAAAAACTGTACCTTACCTCTCTCTTTTTTTTTTTTTTTTTTTTTTACATATCAATAAGGTACATGCATACATATTTATAATCCAAGACCTAAAAGTACCTGTGTAAAAATTAGCTTTTATTTAACGCCCTATGAATACACTGGCGGATTTAGAGGGAGGCCCAACCCCCCCTCCCGTTTTTGTCCAAAATATACATAAAATTTAATAAATCATTTTTTTTTTGGTGTGTCCGTGGGCCCCTACCCCAACCCGGTTGCCCCCCTTTTTCAAGATTCCTGGATCCGCCACTGGAATAGGCCGAGTATTTGATACAAAAGACTGTATTCAGAAAAAAACTGAAATGTATAAATTAAAGCACAAAATTATACAACATAATTGTACTTGAATAATGCCTTATTCATTGATATTCTCTTTTCATGTAAGCAAGTTTATTACAAAGTACAAATTGTACTTCGGGTTCGTTGCCACGATGCTTTCAGTGAGGAATATATACAAATTTTACCGATAAATTTATTAGGAAAACCTACTACATATATGTAATAGTCTTTCGATATATAAATATATTCACAACTTACAGTGTTATCAATGATTTACCATTATTTCAATGACCATTCACACAAAAGCTATTTTTTTCTTTTTAACATCGGGCTCGATGCTATATGATGTTCTAGAAGCTTCCGTCAATATTACGATCGGTGAGTGACGAAAATAACTTGCACATTTCCCTTTTTAATCGGTTATCACAACTTATTTCTTTTATATCATTTAAATCAAGTTTTGATTGAATAATTCAGTAATGACGTTCAAGGAAATAAATAAACGATTGCTTGTTGTCAGTTTCATTAAAAATTGACAGTAACTTTGATCCGCCAACCGGAAACGCCACCGTACTCACGTTTTTGCTATTTCATGGCTGTTTATAGAAAATAAAAGTAGACTTTTAATTTAATGTACGATACTTACAATGCAAGTGAAATCTAAATATAGTTTACGGACATCATCTTGTATCGTGTGTATTCTTAGAGGAGTAAGTAAGAACTCTGGTGCACCCGTTTCGGAGTTTATTTGCAAAATTTATTAATTTATAAGTATATAGATGTTATATGCAGGACTATATTGAAAAACTAGCATTGTTGCTAAATCTGTCATCCTGGCCTTGATGATGATGATGATTTTTTTTTCATCAACATCATTATCATCATCATCTTTTATCCTCATTATTTCGATTAATCAATTTATTTTTATTTTATTTTTTCATATTACTATTTTTTTATTCATTCATTTTTTTATCCGGATAAGGACATCGGTACAGGTTTCTAAATTTATTTCTTACTAAAATCAATTCCGGCAAATAACCTTCAATTAAAAAAATATATGAAGATAATATTTGCATGTATTTTTCACCATTGTTCTGTTTCCATTCTTAAAAGACGACTTGTAATGCGTCCTTTATATTGAGTGTTCAAAATATACTATAAACGCATTCAAATATGAAATTGTACATTCTGCTTGCTGCGGAGGAATACAAAGCAGATTGACGTGGCCGACTTGCTGGAACTTCCAGCTCGACAATAACAATATTTTCAAGCTGTACTTACCTTTTTCATATTTATAGAGTTGGTTATCTTCAATTTTCAAAATGGTACGTATTTTTCTGATTTCATTCGAGTGAAAAAGAGTTTTTTTGCACTGTTATTGTTCTTTTTTTACCCGAAGAGAAGCGATACTCTAAATTTTGTTCAAAATGTGAAGATTTAGGTAGAACTGAATTTGAGAACAGTTTGTAGAAGATTTCGGTGTAGAAATATTTCAATAAAGCGTTACTTTAAGAAAATACGTGTAAAATAAATCATCATTATGTAGTACTCTATGTAAATATGCGATAGTCAAACGGCTCGAATTTTCTCTGGTTCAGATACCGGTTGCACTCAGTTAAAAAAGTATGTAAATTGTACCCAAAAATATGTTGTTTGATAAATAAACAAATTGATTATGCTTGATATGAATGAACCGATAAATACAACATGTGATGAAAAATATCTCAAATTTTTGCTAAAACTCTTAAGTAAAGACTGACGTATATATACGGTAAAAGACGCTTATACAGCGAACATGCTTACAATGAATTGACCCTTACAGCGAAGTGATTTTCATTCCCTGTGGCTTTAAAATATATTGTTTGGTCAACAGTCGTAACGAATTACATTAATAATTTAAAATTATGGATTGATCTTTGTAGGTACTGCTTGCTGCAGCAGTTTGCAACAAGTCAGGCAAAGGTAAGTTATGTCGGAAATCTAAAATTTTAGGCACAATTTATTATGATGAAATACACATATAGAATAGAATATAGATGAAAACTTCCTCTGTGAAGTGTGAAACATTTCAGTCCTAATCTTAAGAATCTGAGTAAATCTAGGTTGTTAATGAAATTGGCATGCCAAATTATTTTTGCAATTGTTCTCAAACTTGTGACTCCTCTTTCCAGCTATAATATCTCGACAATTTGTTGAGATGACAAGATCTCGAATTGAGGGACTGCTGGCAGCTTTTCCAAAATTAATGAGTTCCGGAAAACAACATACATTTGTAGAAACTGAGAGTGTACGATATGTCTATCAACCATTAGAGAAGCTGTATATGTTACTAATCACAACTAAAGCTAGTAACATTTTAGAGGATTTAGAAACGCTTAGGCTTTTTGCAAGAGTAGTAAGTATTTATTGTGAGTTTTCCTGAGTGGGTGTTAAACACTTGAGAGTTTAAAAATTTACTTTTCCAAAGCTTGACTTCTTTTTGCATATTTTACTTGCCAATAAATCAGCTCTTGTTTTAATTTACAGATTCCAGAGTATTGTAAAAACTTTGATGAGCAAGATATTGTGGATCAAGCCTTTCCTCTTATATTTGCATTTGATGAAATTGTTGCCCTGGGTTATAGAGAAAGTGTCAATCTTGCACAAATCAGAACTTTCACAGAAATGGAATCACATGAAGAGGCTGTTTTCAAATCTGTTAGAGAGGTAAGGGAATGTTCAGAATAGATTACTTTTCACTTTTCATTGCCTATGAAATCTAATAATCGTGTTTCATATCTACATTTTGCCTGTTTCTTTCATGAGTTTGTTATAAAAAAAAAAGTTTTCTTTGGTGGTAAGAAATCTTTTTTTTTCTTTTGCTTTGTCCACATCTTCTGCCCAAGGGCTTTCTAATTTTTTCTGTGTTTAGACACAAGAAAAAGAAGCTAAGATTCAGATGCAGAAGAAGGCCAAGGAACTGCAGGCCGCCCGCCGGGAGAATCAGAAATCTGGACGGAGTGGAGGCTTTGGTGGGGGCTTTGGAAGTGGTTCCTTTACACAAAGAGATAATCCTATTATTGACAGTGTTCCAATGGATACACCCAAACCATCATACACAGCACCTGCTAGGTATGAACTCACTAACACAGAAATAAATGACACAAGCATAGAGTAGATATTATAAATCAACTATTATTCACATCATCTTTTATTGGTGATTCGTCAGTTTGAAATGGATCTGCGACGATTAATTTTCATGACTGAAAAACATTCTGTACAAATACAAAGCAAAATTAATTGTTCGTGGCGATTAATATTCGCGAGTTAAAGTAGGTCGCGAAACTCGCAAATATTTGTCGCACACGAATAAAAGTTGGTTTACAGTAAATAGAAAATTCAAAATACTGTAAACATGGAAATTCTTGTTTGAGGATAATTTATGTTAAAGAAGTATCTCTTTGCTTAAATATTCCTCTGCAGAGTAACTTTGTCATGTTTATCTTGGTGAAATATTGGAATCATGGAAACGAACCCCACAAAGAAAGTTTTAAATATGGATTCATATAATTCACAACATGGGGAAATATCCCTGTTTACAATAAATGAATCACTCTGTATCTGCAAAGACATAGTTAGAGTGAGTAGGTAAAACAGAATAGAATAGAGTAGGATTTTGTTTGTGTGTATAGGGAGAGGGGGAAGTTTTAGTAAATGTAAATTAACTTGTAGGCTATGATGTATTATCATACAAAATAGTTTGCCAGGGTATAAGAAAAAAGTTATTTTAGTTGAATATAAGCTTTTTCTTATCTGTTTATAGCAAACCATCATCATCAAGAAATGCTCTTCGTCTTGGAAGTAAGAAGAAAGATGTTGATACATTTGTCGGACAGCTGGAGTCAGAGGGTGAAAGTAAGTCATTACATTTAATCAGTTGATATGATTATAGATCTATGCTTATATCTATACAATAAGCATGAAGTAGATTAATTTTCAATTTGATAATTTTTTTTTCATCTTATTAAAGAGGTGGGAGGAACAAAATCATCATTATCATCAGCTGTGGCAAAACAGACCACTCCTGTCAAAGACCAAGAAGGGTAAGAGCACTTTAAAGTTGAATGAAGATGTGTAAGTCAGTTTTGCTGGTTTCCCAGAGCCAAAGATTCAAATGAGATTTGATTTAAGAATTTCTGGCATCCATATCTTTATTTACGCAACCAAAGGTGTCAGTTGATGCATCCGCAAAAAAAAAAAAAAATTAAATAGAACATATCAATTTTTTTTGTAAATGATCCCAATGAAAAACTTGAAAATAAAATTGCATCAAGTATATCTACAATTAATTCTGTTACAAAATATGGATACGATGTTTACTCTAACAAAAGAAAAAGAAAAAGTGGAGACATTACTGATAGTTGCTGCAGATTAATTTCTAAATAGCAATGCATCAAAGCGTAAATTTTTCATAGGAAAACCTAGTAAAAAGAGAAAGTGGTAAATAGGGGTGCAACGATACACGAACCTCACGATACGATACATGTCACGGTATTCAGTTCACGATACGATATGTATCACGATACATGACAAGGTTAAAAAGTCTTTCAAGTTTGTCATATTTTTTAAAACTTGACAGGGTTATATAAAATGTTCATATTTTTAATAATAATTAAAATAACATTTTGTTAACTTGAATTGAATTGTTAGGTAGATCTTTGAGTTTTGACAAAATTCTAAACCAATGATGAACATTTACAGGGAACTACGGGACCTTTCCTAATAATCTTCCTTTTAAATTGTAATGAAAAAGGAAGACACTCATTCTTTTACTTACGTAGAAAAACCAGTTATATTTCTCGTGTTAACACGTTTTAGTCAACAAGACAGTGAATTTTCATCGAAATGCACACAAGATGAAATATCGTGTATTACCAAAGAATACATTTAGATCTAACGAGTTTATCATTTGTCTTAACATCTGTAACTTATAATCACATTAAGTCCTTCTCTGTGTTAAATCTGAGGTCTGTAAGATGCTGGAGATGAGTTTAACTTCCGTTAATGCGTTATCGGCGACCTCACGTTTTGCGCGAAAGCCATTTTGAAATTGCAAAAAAGGAAACAAAACGGACGAATCGGATAATTCTGGACCGATCGAACCGAACCGCGATATCAGTTTAGCGTATCGTGAATTGAACCGTGGAAAAATATACCGCGATATACCGTCAAACGGTTTATCGTTGCACCCTTAGTGGTAAAATAATCATGAAACTAGGACTGTAATGGATAAACAAGAAGGTTAGAAACTCGACCTTTAAAGTTCAATCTTTAACTTTACAATTTTACAACCAGTGAATTTTATAATTACGGTAACAATGATGAGTCAAACTCCATTACTGGGTTTCTTAGTATATACCATGCCGTTAGAATTGTTTTTAATTTTCGACATCATTGAAGCCTTTCAGGTTTTTGATGTTGTTGTTGCTCAAATAAAGAGTCTTAAATAGATTTACAAAAGAATACTTGCTACTGTGAGACAAAATCTTACTTCCAGGATTAGGAGGGCCAAAAATAAAATATAAGTATCCTTGTAAACTAAAGTTTGTTCTATTCATGGTCATTTAAGGGCAAGGGCTTGAAAAGGTTAAAAAAGATGATTGAAAGAATTATTCTTTTTTTTTTTTTTTAAACTATCAAAAGCTTCGGTTTTTAAAATAAATTTGCTATGTCCCCTCTGAGTGATTTAAATTTATGCAAATCAGTGCCAATGGAGTCAAATTGAGGCTACAGTAGAAGTACATGTACTAATTTTACATTTTAAACAAATTAAGATTTCTTCAAGAGAAACAAATCTTATGCTTGAAATTAAAAATTCAGCAGTATTCTGCAATTGAGAATTGTTGCAATCTTTAGCCACAGGAAATGTTTTGGTATGGAAGAGAAATGGGACTCAGAGGACCATTGTAGTCCAATTGTCATTCCCACAATACTAGTCGGTGTTTAACTTCAGTCTTGAATAAGTTCCAGTGACAATAGAAACATAATTTTAGAGATACTGACTACATTGAATTCTTTGTAGTGTTCACATTGCAGTAGAGGAGAAAATCAGTCTTACAGCTGGTAGAGATGGTGGGCTACAAAACATGGAAGTTCATGGGTTAGTCAAAGTGAAGGTTAATGATGAAACCTATGGAAAGATCAAGGTCAATGTTCTCAACAATGACAAGAAGGGCATTCAGTTACAGGTGAGTCAGATTGGGGACACAAGTAGAATTCTTTCTTCATGTATTGAAGCAATCTAATCTGACTCTGATGATGAATTTTCAAAAAAATTTAAAATGATATATACAGTGCCCACTGTCCAATCCGACAACTGTGCAATCCGGCACACTGGACTTTCTGACCTCATATTTTATTCCCAAAAATTTCTATATAATTTATTTAGAATAAAACACTGTATATTCTGACCACTGTACATTCTGAATTGCGGCGCTCTTTTGTCAACAAAATTAGATAATTACTTTATGATTTCACCTGAGTAATCCGACATAATTACACTGGTGTACCGTAATTAGCCACTGGCCAGGTAACATGAATGCCCCGTTTGATAAGATTGGTCTTCGTAGAGAGTAGTCAATTACATGTACGAGTTTGAAAGTGTTTATATAAGCAATTATAAATGAACGGTTTTTGAATTTAAAAATTAGGCAATCATTCTCTTTGTTGTAATCAATTTTATTCTCGCATTGAAAAAATAGCATCCACGCAACAGAAAATAAAAAGACTATATGATATTTATATTGCCTTTACCTTACAGAATAAATAAGATTTTTAGCTTGAAATTGAAATCATATATGCAGTCAGAGTCCTTCCTAAGGCCATGTAAAGAAAAAAAAATGAGTACGGCGAACTACTGTGTAACATGTACACAATACACAATTTGAGGGCAGCATCTTGTCTTATAGAAAACATTTCATTTCCGGGTTGATATATAATTGATACATTGAATTATGCGAGGCTGTGCACGTAAAAGATTTGCCAGAAGCAAAAAATACCGCTTTAAGTTGCCCATTAAATTTCAAAATATTATGTCTGTTTGATTAAAATTCAATCGCATTCACAATGATTTAGAGTTACGTCCCATTTTTATGAAAAGTCGCCTGACGGTATTAATAGCACAGTCAATGTTGAGAAATAAACAATGGCGAAAATCTGTAGAAAAGTGTAGAGAAGGTAGATGAAATATTTACTTTAATATCTACCGTCAGTTAGTAAAAATTAAACTGCAACATCTCGAAGCGATCGGCATTTCCATCTGTTTTGTCCAATAATTAAAAAAAAGCCATCTAGTTTATAACTACAGAGTTCAGGGTTGGCAAAAAACTGGGAAATACTCATATTTCCCAGGACGGTGGGAAATACTGGTAATTACCGGGAATTACTGGTATTTCCCGGGAAATACTGGGAAATAAAAAATAGCTACTAACATATTTTGTTCATATTGACAAGTAGTACACCTTATTGGCTAAGATATCTACCTGGTATCATTGTCCCTGATTTAAAAAATTCTGGTTTCCAAGTAATTCATTTTGTATAATCATAACACAGTATATTCATATACCAGTCATGAGTGTCATTTGTTTCATGCTTGAGACAGATGTAGTCTATAAAGGTCCATGAAATGAACCCAAAGATCCCAAATGGGTTTTTATCTAAGAAAGTTCTTAAATGTAGAGTATGGTATTAATATCAAAACTAAGAAGAAGCCTTTCAGTTCTACTCAAGGTAATTATATCTTAAAACAGGAGCACAAAACTGTCCAGATCAATTTGTTAAAACAACATGATTGTTTGTAATAACTACAGTGTTTATAGAAGGATTAAAACAAGTTTGGGGTTTTTTTGTTCTTAGATTTATAATTAATAAACTTAATAATTTTACAAAACTGATAAGAAACTTGAATTGGAAAACTTCAGTTTTACACAGAATGCTTATGGGAATGGGACCTGGAGTAGTGATACATTCTGAATATGTTCAATTGCAATTTGAGACATATTCCATATTATTCATCTTTGTTTATGTTTATTTTATTTTTGAATTTTATATAAGATTGAATGAATTAAAGAAAGAAAAAACTTTAACTTTGTATTTCCCAGTATTTCCCACTTTAGAGAAATTTGTAGTATTTCCCGGGACGGGAAATACCGGTATTTACCACTGGTAATTCCCACCACTGGTATTTCCCGGCCAACCCTGACAGAGTTTACTAATGCTATTTCACAAATGCTTTTTCTCAAAGAAATGCTAATCAGATATATTCTATACAACCAAGAAACACAGTTGTGCAAACACTTTGACAATTGAATTTATGTGTACTCTAAACCAATGATTTTTTTTTTTGTATGAAGTCATCTGAAACTTATGATAATGCTCAGAAATATTCAACACTGGGTAATCCGACACTTTGCCTAATCCGACATTGATTTTATTTTCCGCAACATGTCGGATAAGACAGGTTTCACTGTAGTTGTCTTCAATAGTTGACTGTCCTCATTGAATTCCCATTTCAATTTTTATTGCGGTCATTATAATAATATATTTTTCCCTTTTTATGGTCAATGAAGGAAAAGATTTCCATTAATGGCCCAAACATTAAAGATTTGTTCATTATTTATTTGATCACTGATTTGAGACAATATTCTATTATTTAACAGACACATCCTAATGTTGACAAGAAACTGTTCAACTCTTCATCTTGTATTGCTCTGAAAAACCAAGAGAAGTCATACCCATTGAACACAGATGTTGGAGTACTCAAGTGGAGGTTTCAGAGCCAGGATGAGGACATGATGCCCCTTCAGAGTAAGGGAAATTCTCTGTACACTCTACTTGTTTTTATGAATGTATGGAAAAATTACGAAGCAAATATTATGAAAGGTTTCTGACATCAGACACAAATTCCATGTATGTGTATAACTTGCCTGCTGGCATTTTACTTTTATATTTTCATAAAAGTTTTAAAAGTATTTTCTTTTCCTTTTTTCTTAAATCAATGCTAATATTTATTGGGAGATTTCGAATTTGAAGATGTATCAAAAACTTGACCAAATGTACTTTATTATGACCCCTTGGCAGTTGAAGATTAAAATGGAGATTTTTGGAGATGACAAACACTACTGTGATTTCAAGAAGACTAATTCTGTGCCTTTTTTGAATATTACTCTGTGTTTTAGTTAACTGTTGGCCTAATGACACTGGAAGTGGGTGTGATGTTAACATTGAGTATGAACTGAAACAGACAGACCTAGAGCTCAATGATGTCACCATTCTAATTCCTGTACCGTAAGTAAATTCTGCTGAGAAAACTGTGACAGTCAAACAGTCATTTAAGTTGTACATAAAAAAAAAGATGTATCATTCATTCATTATTTTTTATCTCACCCGAGCTGAAAGCTCAAGTGAGCTTTTCTGATCATCCATCATCCTATGCCATTGTCAACAATATTAAACTTGGGCATTTTTAAGTGTCATTTATTTATAAAATCATACAGTCCAAGAGCCAGCAATCCAGAAAATTGTAAAGATATCTTTCTCAGACAGAGAATGAAGGACTTGAATACTTATGTTGTAGATCTGGTGTTGGAGCTCCTGTTGTAGGGGAGTGTGATGGGGAGTACAACTTTGACAGCAGGAAGGCAGTACTCCAGTGGATGTTACCTGTCATTGATGCCAGTAACGAGTCAGGGAGCATGGAGTTCAGTATCGCTGGCCATCCAGACGACTTCTTCCCAGTCACTGTTAACTTTATATCCAAAAAATCTTACTGTGATTTACAGGTAACTTCATCATTCAGGTTCAACTTTTATGCACACTCATCTCCATAGCATTTTTTAACACTGTTACCTACACATTCAAAGTATTTCTCTGTTATTTAGGTACGATATGTGTTACACATATACATATATATAAATGGGACTTGCTTAACTTTTCAGATTACAGAAGTTCAAAATTGCAGTGATGACAGTCCTGTGAAATTTTCCTCAGAGGTGGTGTTTTATGTGGACAAATATGAGATAGTGTAATGCTATCTCCACCCTATTTATTGTGATTGTATTCTGTTTTGGACCAAATGAAACTAAATGGTCATCGGGGGGTTACAGAGTTAGAGTTCAAAGTCCTCATGATCCTTCATGAATGTGACATAATTACCCCCTGCAATGAATGTAGATTAGAACATCCTGAAGGTTTGAGAGAAATACCTAGTGAAACTAGTATACTGGTACTGTCAAAAGGAGCTGTGATACTAGTAGATACCCTGGAAAGTGTCATTTGGGAACTTGGTCATTTTTAAAATTTGAAAGGTAAATCATATTTCTTGTAAGTTAAGTGCTGACCTTTGCATTATGACATAAAAGCTACTCTAGCTCTTCTTTTCATTATTATTGGGTAGGGTTACAACAGTAATTATCATTCCAAGCCCAGGAATATCCGTAAAAATTGCAAACGTTTTGTCTTTTGTTGTCAAATAGGAACTGTATATTTGATTGTTAAAGCAGACTTTTACTTCTATGTGTCAAAGATTACACATGTACATAACAAGAATAAATATTTATAAAATATGAGAATTCCTTGTGTCATTGTCTTTAAGGACCCTCTATACACTGATCAAAAATGTTTTTGGGACTTTGAGAAAATTTGGCATAAAGGAGGATATTTTGAAATTAACTAACTCCTTTTTAATATAGGGAGCGTGCCTTTTTTATTCAGGAAAAATCTTCAAAGACAATGAAGTAATAGAAAAGAAAAATTGCCTTCACTTACTCAAATGGATAAAATACATGCAAATCAAGTTTACAAATACTCTATCTTGGTGTAATATAATGTTTAGAATACTTGGATTTATTTCAAATTATGTGATTTAGTTCAGATAACAATTTATTCTACTTGTATGTGGGTGAATTAAAAAAAAAATGACCACCAAACTGAATTTTTTTGGCAAAATTCAACTACTTATAACATATTTTTCACTTATATCATCATATTGCAAATGGATTCTAGTTTAAAATCCTGAAGTGGCAATAGAATAGACAATTGTATTAAAAAGTTTCAGAATTTTTATTAGTAAAATTTCTTTTGAAAAAAGAAAATATCATTACACCTTGAAAGACTTTCTAAAATACATAATCACAAGAAATTATAGTTTTTTATGCTTCAAAATGGTAAAAGGGGTATAAATGATTAAATCTATACCTTGAATGAGTATCTTCTCTTGTACATGTGACAAAAAATTGGCTTTTTGATTGTTATTTTACATTATTTTTTCAATTCTGGTTTGAAAAGTTTTAATTTGAAAAAAATATGAAGCAATAAAATTCCCCAAAGTTCACTTTTTTGTCCGTTCAAGTCAATTCTTTAAATCTAGGCCAAAAAAGAATTGTTATATATGAGTTCTCTTACAAAAAATACTAGATTTTGAAGTGACCCTATGTTACATTATTGTGTTGCACTCCTGACATCTGATATGTATTTTATTTAACATTGTTTTAAAAATTATAGCACACAATAACCCATTCTTACTTTGTAAATCAATTTATCGTGTTGATATTTTTCATCGTTTACAGCAGGTTTTTCATATTTTGAAGACCTTAAAACATGATTATTTGCAAAGTGTAATATATATAAATTGTATTTAAAATATATGTGAAATGATGAAAAATATTCCCTGAATTGACTGTAAATTTTCTGTAATTTGTTGATAGACATAGTGTTTTGAACATCAAATAGTATCAAGCATTTTTTTCAACTTATTTTTTAGTAAAGATAGTTAAAAAGCATCGGTAATTATGAACCAGTTTTGTTGCACTCCTGACTGCAGTAAAGTTTAAAATTAAAACCATAGAACACAAAAATTCATAAAATGTTGGCAACATCAACTGGTAATGAAATTGTGCAATACTTATAGTCCAATACTTCATGATTAAACAGATGAAAGTATTTAAAATTCACATTTTTTCTGGAATTATACCCTATTTTATGCTCAAAAAACTAGCTTAAATGTATATTTAGAAGATAAAATATATTTTAAAGCATATTTTCCTTTAGAAGACAAACACAGTAACCCACCAGAAAAATTCTACTCATCATTTTTTCTTTATTTTTATTCTTATTGGATGATTTATAATTCTAACATATTTGTTGCACTCCTGACCAAAAGCATTGGTGCCTTTAAAGTAGAATTGTGAAGTGAAAATTACATAAGAACTTGTTCTGTTGTTTCAGTGAAGTTGAGGAGGAATTACTTGAATATAATGACAATGTTTTAGTGTGTTTATTTTTAACGTTCATTAAAAAAATCACAAAAAAGATAAAAACACATCTGAATTGATAAAATTGAAAAAGGAAGGATTTTGATAATAAAACTGTCAATAATTTAGCATTAAATTATACAAAAAGATCATTATTAATTAATGAATACTTCTAAGCATGAATAGAAGTCTTTTCTTCACACAACTTGAATCTTTAAAAAAATGTGTTGCACTCCTGACCATAGAAATATGGATCTGAAGCACAGACAAATCCTGTAATTGATAAAGCTATTTGGTAAAAATGTTCTTAGTGTCTTTATTTTCCAAAATAAAAATCAGAAAAGCATATAATGATAATAGTTTTTTCATGCTTGGGAGCAAAACATCAAATGTTGCACTCCTGACATTTTTGGGTATGCACATATACTTGACTCTCATTAATGCTGCTTGTGATTTATATAACATTTTTAAGTTTTAAAATGTATATCAGTTATTATTTTACACTTCCAAAATTCTTTTTTGTCTTAATTTTCTATCAGAATTTTACAATTGATGTTTTTTTGGCAACACTACATTTTTTCTGTTGCACTCCTGACATGGTACAACATTTTTTTAAACATCAGCCACGACCACAACTTGAGTAAACAAAAGTTATGACAGTCCACATTTAAAGCTCAATACTTTGAATATTATCAGGAAAGTCTTTATTTTCAACATGAAGCATTATTTTTTATTTCACAGATCTCCAAAAAATATTGAAATTTCAAAATGTCACAAAAAGGTGTTGCACTCCTGACAATTTTAGCATCATTTTTGGGCATCACTTTTTTGTTAATTGAGATATCAACGAGATATTTGGCAGGTATTTAGACACTATCTAAAGACATATGCTGAGACATAGAAATCTATTTTCATTGCATGTATTTTCAGTGTGGGTTGATAAATATGCGTTTGGTCATTTTTTTTGAATTCACCCCTGTCAAATGTTAGGTCAGTCTAATTACACAAAAGTACCCTAAAAATAGGGTGCAGTGTAGAGAGGGTCCTTAATAGATGTAAAGGGAGATAATTAAATCATGCTGCATGAGAACAAGAATAAGTTATGTCAGTCAGACATCCAAATTGTGATGGTTAGAAATAGTTTCATGTTGGATAGTGCCGAGTAATATCATGTAGCTCTATCTATAAATTATACCTCTGCCAACATTTTTGTAACTTTGTTTTGTTTTCTTTATTTTGAGATTTATGCGTGTCAATTAACCACTTAAATTAAAAATAATGTGCAGGTACATACACTTTTCAACAACCCTTTGAAAATTCCCTCTCGGAAAGCAAATAAAGAACTGAAAATTGATATATTTAATAAAATAAAAAAAAAAAACTACCTTTCTACCCTCTGTAAAATATTGGTGGATAACTGCAAAGTTTTTTTAAAGGTTGAACTTGTAGTAAGAATTGTGAGAAATGCATTATTATTAATTTATTTTAAATCCCCCCCCCCTCCTCGATTGTCTAATGAAAATATTTGTATTAATTGCGTGGTTTTCACCTTGCTGGATCAAAACCATAATAAATATATGAAAAATATTTGAAAGAACAGACTTGAATAATTTTATTGCTACATTAAATCATTTTTTTTAAACAAGCAAATATGTGAAATCTTGAACCATCACACTTAAGATTAAAAAAGAAAGTTTATGTATCCGGGAGACGGGCCCTCTTTGGCATGCGACGCTTTTTCACATCTCTGAGTGGAGACGATGACCGTTTCGTGGAAGCTTCAGCGAGTTCCTGGTCATTTGTCACATGGTTTAGTACTGCATCACTGGATGGCGCGTGTAAGCATTTCCTCAAAGCATCCTCCGACTTGACAGAATCTTCATACATTTTTTGGAAATCTTCGTATGAGTACACGTTTGGACCGATACTTGGTAAAATATCGTACATTTTCCCGAGTGATGGTCTTTTAGCCGCTTTTTTGGGTCTTGACTTGCGGTCCTCTGGAATCTCTGGCAGAATATCATACATCTTACCAGTTAGAAACTTTGGCTCACCTTTAGATTCGTTCTTGCTTTCGCGTTTTCCAGGCTTTTCTGGCATTGTGAGAAATTCTGTAATAAAAATCATTTATCAATGTCCATTAATATTTTAAGATATTTAAAAAAGAAATTGTACACACGAAAACTTCCTCAAATGTACGCAATTTAGACCAGTTGTGATATTCATGTGACAGTGGAATCAGATTATTATATCCACGCTTAAATTATTTACATGTATTTTTATCCGTTAGGTAATTTCCACTTTAAACATGTAGGATCTCTCTAAATTTATACTTTGTAATTACGAAGTTATTTATAATTACTCACTGTATTCTTCCTCGAATGGTTTCTACGTCACGTGACAGTTGATTGTTACGCAGCTAAATCATCATTTCACTGTATACGTCATAATATATGTGTAGGGATACGTCATAGTACGGTGTATCAATCTGATTCTAAATGAAAAAAAAATCCCCCCCCCCCAACCATAAAAAGAATTTTTGAGTTCGGATATTTTCTTTTTATTTTCTTGTTTGTCAAACATTTTGAGATTAGTTTTCGTATACCCCCCCCCCCCTTCAAAAACAATGCTACAATACCTGGAATCAGAGACATAACATGTCTGCTGGAATAGACCACTTTTAATTTTAAATCTATACCCGGAAAAAAGGTTTCATTTTCATGAGAGATAATAACATTTTTAAATGATAATAATAATACTTGATTTTCCAAACGAAGTTATAGCTCAGTCGTCTTTCGTGGCTCAACTTCAAACTACTAGTAAATTTGGGAAGAGTTTGCATTTAGTACGTGCAGACAAAATATTTTTAATTATTATCCATGTATTTTTCTCTCTCAAATTATAAGAACAGTATTGCAATAGGGCATCGATAAACAGCAGTGGATCAAGTGATGGAATGGCCCGTTGTCCCGTAGGAAAGAGGTATTGAACTTTTCTGGTGAACTTGTTTCTACGAGTCTACATCCCCTACCCCCAATCCTCCGCCTTTTTATAGTTCACTTGAGCCAAGTACAGATGACTCTAATCGAATTTTGTCCTGCATCATGTTGTTTGTAAACTTCTCACATTTACTGGACCAATTTCAGCCAAACTTCCAAAAAGTGCCCTTGATTAAAGCTTGGGGGTTCAAGATTGTTTAAGTTGGGTAAAGGGGGTTCAAAATTGTTCAAATCAGGCGCGTAGCTGCCTATACGCAAGTGCGTACACATCATTTTCAAAAAAAAATCTAGGGAGAGAGAGTTATCCAGAGAAAAAAAAACTCAGTGTCATCCAGCAAATATTTTTGTTTCAAATTATTGTTTGTCATATTGTTTCGAATCGGATTTTGTATTATCGTGTTTATACAATCAAGTCTGAAATCTATTATTAAATCAATGCCAAATCCATATAAATCACTTTTAAATCTGTAAGTGTTCTATAACACATTGATAATTTTTAAAGATCTTTGAGGAATTAAATTTCAACATGTCGTTGAATGGCTTGATCAAATAGTATATGATTTAAAATACAATATTTATTTGTTCTACTAAATTTTTTTTTTATCTGTACCCGAAAATAACATTATGAAAATGAAGGTGCAGACGATATATACAAATATATCGGTAAAATATTCAGCCTTAAGTACAAGTACAATAAGTTTCCGCGGAAGTTAATATCTAACGAAAAGCAAAATAGCATGATATTTTCTGCAAGAAAGTAATTGAAATATTTGGTAAAACCAAGGAGTTTCCGGGGGCTTCGCCCCCTGGGGCCCCACCAGGGCTGCGCCCTGGACCTACTGGGAGCCCATACCCCTGACGTTTTCTGCGTACACCAGGGGCGTAGCTTGACTTTAAATTCTAGTGAGGCAAACCCATAGAGGCAGGGGGTATGGGGGGGGGGGCAAACAGGTCCAGGGCAGCGCTATGGTGGGGGAGGGTTAAAGCAGGGACCTATATACTAGTTAGTATATAGGTCCCTGGTTAAAGGGGGAGCACCACACATCTCTCCGGACAAAAAATGGATTTGGGGGGTTTAGAATGCAAATATCAGACTTGTCCTGCACAGAATTTTAGTTTTACCGGTTTCATATCGTGGATATGATACCACATATTATTAAAGTATTTTAAAGAGCATCGTCAGAAACCTATGGGATAGAATCTAAACCGACCGCAGGTTTCCGACGAGGTAAAAGATTAGTTATGTTAAACAATTGTGTTTACTAAAACTTGTAACACATTTTAAGATGAATGCACGTTTTCTTTAACTTTGTTTTTAATTCTTCAAAACTATAATTGTCAAACATTTATCAATTTTTAATATTTTCCAATCATTATCTAACTTGGAGTTTTCAGTAATGGAGGAAGAACCCGAACCTTGATGATATGAACGTACATTATAGAATTGGATAATTATAATTTTTACAAGATATTTTCTGCAATGTATTATTAACTATGGGAGGGAGTGGTGGTGGTTAAAAATCTAGTGAGGCAGTTGCCTCATTGCCACAATGGAAGCTACGCCCCTGTACACTTCACTTCCATTCTGGCTACGCGCCTGCAAATGAAAAGCTATTCAGTCCCACTTTTATGGAGAGGTATTAAGACGTAGAAAAAATATTGCGGCGTGATTTAAAATCTTCTCAGGGACAGAAAAAACAAAACATAGGCAGTATAAAGCTTTCTGAAGGAGTGGAGATTTAATTAATTTAAACATTTAATTAATTAAAACATAACATGTAAAATCGAAGTCTCTGGTGTAGGTTTGGGTCCACGAAAGGAAATACGGAAAGGTTTAAAGTTTTTTTTTCATTAATCATATCATCAGCCTTAATAAGTCGTATAAATAATCAGGTAGTGCAGATTCAGGTTATGTGGAATCGTGGCCAGATGGGAAACGGACGGCGTCACTATAATTAAAGGATCAAAGCTTTACAGTTGGAATAGATATGGGCAAATCCCCACGAGAACAGAAGGGTCAACATAAATCATTTTAATACTAGTATGTAAGCATCTCAAGATAGTGCAGACTCAAATTCATAGCCATAGGATGGAACCACAATAAAAGATCAAATATTTTTATGGAATATCAGAGACATATATATGATTTTTATATGTCTCTGTTCTTCTGAAAAAAGATATTTGCCCTTTGCCCTTTTAATAAAGCAAGGTCTTCTAGTTAAATTCTTCTATCAGAGCATTACTTTAGTTTTTAAAAAGTATTGAATCTCTCTCTCTCTCTCTCTCTCTCTCTCTCTCTCTCTCTCTCTCTCTCTCTCTCTCCTGTAAAGAAATCATCTGACAGAGCAAACCGGAATATAGTGATTCGTGGTCATTGGTTTTACCCTAACTTTTTCAATTTTTCAAGATGGAGGAAAGAAGTGGAAATTGACAGATTATTTCGGACAAAGAAGACTTGAATGTTAATGAAAAAAGTCATCCAGTATAGGTATTTTTACTTTTGTTATTTGAATCATATAATTTTGTATTCTTTAGAATGTTCCAAGGTTTTTAAATGCATTCTCTAAGGAAAAAATGAGGTTAATATGCATGCGAATTTTCTCGGTTACATCTCATTTCCACTGTAGAAAAGTACAGATAAGCCAGGTTGTTTAAATTGAAGGATTTCTTAAGTTTGTGTTCTTTTTGTTTGGTTTTCATTTTTTGTTGGTTAATTTTACAAAAAATAAATGGAAATACTCCAACGGAAACAATGCATATATGTCTTGAAGAGCTACAGCCATCTTGATGGGATGGGCCAGAGACGTATAAAACCATTTTTATTTTGGTCTTATATGTCTCTTGCTAAACTATTTATATCTCATGCACCAGCTCACTAATTCATTTTTGATTTTATACTGTTACAATAAGTAACATTGCCTTGTGATTCAATGGAACAAATAAGATCTGGATTCAGGAACCACTGGAGAAAATCAAGATACTGCACAATTTGGGTCATTATTTTAATCCACTGGTATAATATACTTATGGTGATTTGACTACACACTGAATCCCAAAGTCAAACTTTACATGTTGATATATGTATTTTTATCCACTCCATATTCAGATAAAAAAAACTTTCTAATTACATACTTTATTTACATACTTGGCATAAGTGACCATACATTAAAAAGAATGCTCAGAATAGAGGGAGCTAATTTGTTTTGCTTTTCAGAAAAAATTAAAATGTAAGTAATCCCAAAACAATGACTTTCAAAGAAATATATACAGAGGGTTTTAACTTAATAATATGCAAAAACATAATCTACTTTCCACATTGTTTCATCAATCTAAATAAAGATATCTATCAAATTTACTTCAGTGTCAATTATTAAGTCGGAGAAGAATGTGCTACTTAATTTATTCAGATTTTTTAAGAACAGAAATAAGCCTAAACAGGAACAAATTTGGTTTGTTTCCAAGTAAACATCATTCATATTTTATTCCAAGAATTTTTTTTTCTCTGGTTCATATCAGGTTTTCCTTATATCAATAAAAAATTGTTGGTAAAGAAGTTAATTAAACATTCAATCCACTCTCTTGAATTAAAAAAATAATTTTTATTCTTATAGATAAACATCACAGAGTTTCATTGAAAGAAATGTGTTGTTTTTGTGTGTGTGTGTGTGTGTGTGTGTGTGTTTTTGAAATTGATGTGCTTATAACACTCAAAAGCTGTAAATTTTGCACATAATTATAACAAGTTTTATTTCAGATTATTTGGAAGTACAATATACTTTCATATATAACAGGCTTTCACACCAAAAGAAAGAAAAGAGTTTGTAAATGTATGGTGCTGTCAAATATAATTGTTTCTATTCTTGAACTGTGAGGAATTAATTATAGCCCAAAAGAGTTGATGTAGAAAGGAAATGTAATCTTTAAGATTCTTACTGATAAAATCTAAATGTGTTTCAGTACTCAACTTCCTTGCATGTGCATGCCTAGTTTGTACTGATGTGTCAGTCTCATTCATTGCTTTGCTTGTAATGTTGTGATGAAATCTTAATGTAGAAGAAGGGATAAATTGTGAGTAAAATCAGGTGTGTAAAAAGTAAAATGCCATTTATATTGAATAGCAGGAGATATATATATATATATATAGAGAGAGAGAGAGATAGAGAGAGATAGCTTGGAGAGGGGCATGGAGAGATAGATAGATCCACTGAATATTTGTTTCTTAATATGAAAACCATTGCTATTGATCAGTCATTAAAAACTTCTTAACTAGTTACTGGTACATATGGTTTTTTAAAGCCATCTTTTTTAAAGTTTCTCAAGAAGTGACAACCATTAATTAAAACTT